TACAACCTACATTTTCCCAGACGACACCACCTGGGGCCTGCAAGTGAGGCAAATGAGATCACATCAATAGTAATAACACAAATTATTTCAGTGAGTCCAATGTCTAGATCTGGGGATCCAGCTCCCTGAAAATTGTTCTTCAAGTATTTCTAAGTGGTCCAGTCTAGGGCTGTCGTGACTAAGTCTAATTGCCTTGGTCCTGTGGCCCCAAGAACCTGAGTTCTGTTGCTTTTCTATCATGCACCCCTTTCCATAATCTGCCTTTATCACTCCCCCAGGAAAAAAATGGGCCCTGTATGGCCCACCAGGCACAGTGCTAGGCTCTACTTAGAAAGTCCTCATTCCTTGGTAAAATCAAAATATTCTAAATTTTCTCTTTTAAAATGCATATGAGCACATTTTCATTCAGAAGCTAAGTTACTATTCCATAAGTCAGTGCATAATATATATTTACTAACTGATCCATTAAACATTTGCAAAGTTCCTTCAATGAATCAGGTGGGTATAGGAAACCAAAAAGTCCCTACCCTCACAAAATTTACATCACACCAGTCAGAGAAGCAGGTGAATAAATAATAAATTGCAATAGTGTAAGGTTTGTTTATTTGTATCTACCTTGGGGATTGGGAGGAAGTGTGTGGGGGAGAGAGAGAGAGAGAGAGAATTTTGTTCCATAGAGTGGAAGGGTGCCTTATTCTGATGAGGAGTGGTCAAGGAAGATTTTCTCCAGGCATTTTATTATAAGACCTGAAATCCCATTTGCTGTCCTTAAGCCTCAGAAGCCATGAATTCCTCTACCCCCGCAGAAGTGCCCCCTTTTAATCCCTTTATTAGCTAAACTGGATGTACCATACCCCATATTCAACTAAGTCTCACCTCTCTGCCCGTCTGTGAAACTCTTCAAACAAACCAATCACATCTCCTTTGTGGGAACCAGGGGATGCCCCGCCCTCGTTACTACAAAGTCAGTCTCCCACAACCCCTTCTGGTTGATCCTGCTCTGAAATGCAACCACTGAATGATCCTGCATGGTGTCTAGGGTCCTGTTTCTCTGGTTGTGAGTATATGTGACTAGTAACTCTAGCCAGTCTCATCTGACCAGTGTTGGATGTCAGGTGTTTGGCCAAATCTTTCTTCCAATAAGGTGAATAAAAGGTGATTGGAATATCATGTTAGTTAATTTTGATTTTTCTGGATAAATAAGAGTTAGGGAGGTGGATAAATGGAAAAAAGCATGACAGAAAAGAGATATAAAAGACTACAGTGTACTTAAGGAAGGAAAAGTAGGTTGATATGATAGGGGTGTAGTGAAGGGAGAAGCTAAAAATGAAGTAGGAAACAATGAGGGTTCGGTCTAGTGTACTGGTCGTTAGTCAGTTCTGTAGTCACAAAGACAGTAAAATCCATGACCTTAGTGGCCAACTGGGTGCAGAACTGGGGGCTTGGGACAGGGAAAAAATGAAAATGACTGCTGGCCTTGGGTAACCAGGTACGAATTGTATCATTCACTGAGATGGGAAATACAAGAGGAACAAATCTATGATGGGAAGAATTCAATTCTGGCACACTGATTTTGTATGGTTTATAGATCTTCCAGGTGATGTCCAGTGGGTTGTCCATCTATGGACCTTAGAATAGGCTGGAGATAAAGGATTGACAACCATCAACAAAAAGGTATTCCTGATATCTGGATTCTGATGACAGCCAAGGGGAATGAACAGAGGGAAAGGTCAGAATAAAGCACACAAACATTTAAGAGATGAGTGAAAAAGATATTTAGAAAGGAAAACTGAAAATGACCAAGGCATATTAGGAGGATGATATTCTGGAAGGCAGGATGGTAAAGAAATTGAGGTGTTTATACATATTTTTTATTTTATATATTTTTATATCATTTTTCATGTTTGCACAATGTATGCATTTTCATCTTAGTTATAGTCCCCATACAATTCCCACTCTCCTTGTTTTGATCCTATTCCCTCCTCAACACCCCCACCCCCGTAGTGTGTCTCTGGTTTATAGTTGCTTGTTGATTTTGATTTTCACTTTATTATAATTAGTCTTTTTCCTGGTACCTTATATAGGTGTTCTAAATTCCTGCTATGAGTGAGACCATTTGGCATTTTTCTTTTTCTTTCTGGCTTATTTCACTGAGCATGATCCCTTCCAGCTCCATTCATGTTGCTGCAAATTGCATGACTTTATCTTTTTTGATTGCTGTGTAGAGATTCTTCAACCTGCTAAAGATGGAGCTTCCACATGATCCAGCAATTCCACTCCTAGGTATTGACCCAAAGGACACAGAAACGTTAATTCAAAAGGGCACCTGTACCCCTATGTTTGTAGCAGCACAATTTACAATAGCTAAGCTATGGAAACAACCCAAATGCCCAAAAATAGATGACTGGATTAAGAAGATGTGGTACATATACAAATGGAATATTACTCAGCAATGAAAAGAAGTGTTTATATTTTTAGTGAGAGGATGAAGTACAGAATTCAGGAAATAAAATTCATGAAGAGGCCAGAGTTATAGAACTCACAGGCAAGATAGAGGAATTTTGCTTAATAAGGGTGGTCATCATTTCTAGTGACACAGGAGATAAACTCAAAAGTATGCAAATATTTTTATATGTATGACAAGGGTTGGTATTTTCTTCACTATGAAAAAATATTCCAGATAAATTGCCTACCATTGGGTGAAACCAAACTCTGGAAAACAGTGGTCCTCATCTGTTGACAGAAAACTGACAATAAAGAAGCAAAGAATCCCAGCAACTTATAGAGTTTTCATTTATGTCAAATGCAGTTTGATAGACTTGAAAGGGAACATCGTCTGAGAAGCACGTAGAAGCTATAGTGATAGGTCTATAAACAAGACAACAGGAAAATAGCTAATAAACTCAAAGCCTATTTTCAGATGAAAGAAATTGCAAGACATGTAAGAACACAAATTACATGGAAACACTGAAACAAAATTACAGTGTTAATTCCTAAGCAAAATAATATTTCACCAAATAATACATGGGTTCATTTTGTAAAAATGCATTTGTCATACCTACTGAAAGCACTTTGATTAGAAGTGATGCTTACAATTGGATTTCAAATGTGATGCTGCAATCAAAATAAACATCCAAAACAAATTGATAAACCTAAGTTCATCTTGGCTTTTTTATTAACCATGAGATAAATCTCAAAGTTTATTACTAGAAATGCAAACATGAAGTTTTTCTAAGATCAAAGAATTTGCATCACCAGAAGAATGTTTTATCTTTTAAGAACAAAACGGGATTTTTTAAAGAATAATTTGGTATCTCAAAAATAAAAATAAAATAAATAATTATGACCCACTTAGTACAAGTTTAATACCAATACACTACAATTTTATACATAGCCATGTCTTAAGAATAAAGCATAAGGGCCTCCCTCGTGGCGCAAGGAGTTACAATGCAACCTATGAAGCTATCCACAACCACTGCAGCACAAGTTCAATCCCTGGCAAGGGAGCTACCCACATGGTGCAGCAGACCTCGCCCGCTGCTCCCCTCAGCTGTGTATTTCAGTACATCTGCCTGTTCTGTTCCCCATTTCCTCTCTGGTGAATCCTCTCACACCCCCCACCTCTGGCCTGTACCCCAGTTGTATGCATAAATAAATCTTAAAAAAAAAAAAGGAATAAAGGATAAATTACCAGCATGGGTAAGAACTAATTCTATGTGGAGATACAATAACAAAAAATTCATACATGTGGAGATACAATAACAAAAAATTCAGATAAATTTATCTGTTCTGAGACTTAATACATTATTTATTTTGATTTTTTATATTAAAACTATAAGGTTTTAATAACTGTCTATTTTTTATTTAAAAAGGCATTTCTTTTAAATAGAATTTAGCTACTGATTTGTCAAAAATAACTTTTGCTAAAAAATATTTTAAAAGTTGGAAAATTAAAAGAGTTGAGAGGGCCTCCCCGGTGGCGCAGCGGTTGAGCGCTAGGTTGTGAAGCTGCCCGCAGCCTCTACAGCGCCGGTTCGATTCCCCGGATGCTCCCCGGCCACTGGAGGAGGGTCCCACATGGCGTGCAGACCTCTCCTGCCGCCCGCTGCTCCCCTCAGCAGTGTACTTAGGTCTTTCTGCCTGCTCTGCTCCCCGCTCTGGCTCTGGTGAATTCTCTCACCCTCCTGCACTTCTGACTGTACCCAGTGTTTGTATAAATAAATAAATAAATCTTAAAAAAAAAAAAAGTGCTGAGAAACACCAGCTCTTGTATGCATAAATAAATCTTAAAAAATAAAGTGCTGAGAAAAAAATATTTACGACTCTATAACTAAAACAAACCATTTTGATACATATCTACTGGGTATCTCTTGAAATTCACACAGAGACAATTATGTAAAAATGGAATTATACATATTCTGTATCTGATTTTTCAATATTATATTCTTAATACTATGCCTTGAACAAAGACTTATATTAGTAACTACTGATTACCTGGTTATAATAGCCTCCCTATATTACTGTATAGTGAACATATTCATTAATTTACTAATATAACAAAATTCTCCTATAATTTATTAATATACTGAATGAATTAATGTTTAATCACTCGGTGGGAATTTAGGTTGCTTCCAATAGTTTGTTGATAAGCAATGCTGCAATAAAAACAATTTTGATATATTTCTCTGCATAATGTCCATTTTTTAGGATAAATTCCAGAAATTCAATGAATCGATCAAAGGGGAATCCATATTTTAAACTTAAAAGACAGCCTATCTGCTTTCCAAAACAGAAACAATGTCAAATTCCAAAAAGTCATGCTCCACGAATGCTCATCTCCTGGGCATTAATAAGGTCAAACAATTCCTTCCATAAGTTTTCTGGCTATATACATTCTATTCTAGTATGGACTATTGGTTCATGTCCATCTCTTGTCATTTGCTAATTTAATAATTTAAAATTATTAATATTTTTATATTATTTTTTATTTTGTTGTTTTTATGTCTTTTTCTACTTGGCTCTTTATTTTACATAGTCGCACATCACTTAACAACAGGGATATTATTCTGATAAATGCATGTTAGGATATTTCATCCTTGTTCAGACATCTTAGACTGTAATTACACAAACCCAGCTGGAACAGGCACTACACACCTAGGCTGCAGTTAGAGCCTGTTAGGATCCCTCAAGGACGCTGTCTGTCATTGACCAAAACATTAAGTGATTCATGACTAGTTTGACCTTTTGAATAATGGTAACAGCTTTTCACCTCTCAAGACTGTAAGAATTTCAACCATGACTTTAATTTTTTTTATATTTAAATTTTTGAACCATCTACAAGTTTTTGAGATTTTATGTGAAGTCAGATTCCAGTTTTCCTTTTTTTCCCAAGTGGGTAGCCAGTTCACTTACTGAATAATATTTTCCCCAACAGTAAAACCATTTTTAATTACCCACAATAGTGAGAAACTTTTCTAGACACTTATTTTGTTCTACCAATCTAGTTACTTGTGGACTAATTAAACTCTATTAACTCTAATTTGGGAAAAAATTTCATATGTACTGGGACTCATTGTAACACATTTTATTCCTGAAATGTCTTGGATATTTGTCCTCTTTTCCACAAGGAAGTTTAGAACCCTTTTTTCAGGTTCCTAAATTTATCATAGGCTTTCTCTAAATCAGACAACTACTCTTTGCACAGTGCTGTACATTCTCCAGCACATGCTGCAATCCAGGGATCCCTCTCTCTATCCATTTGTGAGGCTTTCTCTGCAGTGACTGTATACCCAAGGATGCAAAGCCCCCTCTCTCCTGATCTACAGCTGTGCCAAAAATTAAAATCCATAGTCTCTAAAATGAAGATGACAGTGAAAAACAGGAACGCTGAGGAGTGTGCACAATACCTTGCTAGCTCAGAGGATTTCTCATCAACTCAGGGCCTGCTTTTCCAGGTAACGTAGCTTGTGTGTCCTGACTTAATGGCAGTAACCGAGTTGAGGCTTTTTCCTACCTATTTTGCAACTAATTTGGGTCAATGAATCAAATGACTGGCACTGAATTAGTAAAAATTCCCATGGATTTGGCACAGGGTGACTTCTTGTCTCTAATTCCCAATATTGTTGGGAAGTCTTTGTTGGTATTTTTATTTGGAGCTGAGGATAAACCAGAGGCTGTTAATCTCTGGCTTTGCTTAACACAGGCATAAAAAGTATTTCTAACATGCAATGGGTTATGTTCTTACAGAACATACGTGGACTGTCCCAGCAATCACTGACACAGATCTAAATGAATTTAAATATCTATGATATAACATTTCCTAAGTTCTTTCCTTGAATGAAGTTTCCACAATATAAGCTATTCCTGAAACCCTATGGACTAGTAAAATTGTCTTATGACAATTTTCAAAAGACATTTAAAAAATTACTCTACTAAAAAATGTTAGTGTTGAAAAGAGAATTAAGGTTTGAGCTGAGGTGTTTTCCTGCCTGTGAGATGTGATTGAGGAGGCTGAGAGAGCCAGGTCAAAGTGATCTGATAGGTTTTGTTGCTCTTGGGAGGTATCATGTGCAGAAAAAAAGTTCTTTATACTGTGAATTGTGCTAACCCCTTGGCACACATAGAATTTCTTGCCTCAATAAAGCTGAGCTATGGACATTATAAAATGCTACTCAATTTTTTTTTTCCCTTTCAAAAGCATCCACGTTATTTTGTACCTCTATGGTCAAAGTTACTAAGGATAAAGGCAGCTAACAAATTTATCAAAAACATTAAATGTGTTATTGGAAATTCCAAGCTAACTGCCCCTCATCTGTGTCTCCATATTAGCCCTTGTGATGGTCAGCTTTATGTGTCAACATAAACTCATCATGTTTTGTTTATGTGCTTACCAAGAGTCAGCAATTGACTTTAGGTAGTTACCCTCTAGTGCAGGTGAGGTTATTCGGTCAAAGGAATTGAGAACAAAAACTGATGTTTCCCAGAGAACGAATTCTACTTTAACACGGCAATTAAAAAATAAAAAGTCCTGCTGATCTGCCCTATAAATGTAAACTTGTCAGCCCATATAAATTGCATGAGATTCCTTATTTACACATACGTGGCTGTGTGTGTGTGTGTGTTTGTGTATGTGTTCATACACAACTCTAAAATGTTTTGCTTGGCTCTGTCAACTCCAGGTTGACAGAATTCCACCAGAGGGCTTTCTCAAACTCTAAATAATCAGTAAATATTTTGAACTAAAGGATAATAGGATAGTCCTTTCATAAAAGATTGTCAAATCAAGTGATAAGTGACATCAAAGTGAAATGATTAATAGGATAAGGAACTAGGAGTCTCAGGTAAAGTGAGGCTGGAAAGCAGATAGCTCAACTCCTACAGCAACCAGTTACAGCAAGCCAGAAATAAAAATTCAGGTTTTAAATCAAAAACCTACCAAAATATGTCAGCTGAGTTTGAATCTACCGGTCATGTGAACTTTGGCAAGTCATTTGGCTTTCTTGGACTTAGGGTGCCTGAATCACTTGATCTCTAACACATTATATGATTCTAAGGTCAAAGCAAATGAACAGAAGTTCAGAGAGCTGAGACATGAACTAATGTTTGTTGATTCTATAGATTATTCTTTAATTTGTATAGGGACAGGCACTGCTCCGGTATAATAGCCTTCCAGCCACTGGCACCAACAGTGCAGTGAATTTAGTTGGTTCTAAGTTGGGACAAGAATGGAACTAAAATCTACACAGAGATTCATGCAGGAAACATATCCAAAGCTATGCAGTCATAAATATGGTAGTTAATGCACAAAGCCTGGCTAGTGTTGCCTTTGAAATTAAGTGAACTGTATCAAAGGGTTGCAAGATGTTAAGTCATCAGTATGCTTTCGCTTAGTCTATAGATGAGGCAAATGTGCAAACAGACTAAAGAGACTCTTATAGAATAATTATTCTTTTTATCATTTTGTATGCAAAGGAATCCTCCCTTTTAGGATATGCAGATAATGCTGGTCTAGATTAAAAACACTACTTTTTTAACACTTATTTCAACATGCTATTTCCCAGGATGACTGACCTATAAAAGAAATAGTGAATAAACTGGGAAAATGCTAATAGCAAAACACCTCATCCTTAGAACATACAGCCAAAAATCAATGACACCCCTCAATTATACAAGTTAGCAGCACTTTCCGCTCATTATTAAAGTAGAAATTCATGTTCAAATTAGAAGCTGTCATTCAACAAAACCTCCATACAATGTAATACAGACAGGAGGCTATGTTCATATGAAGAAAAACAAGAACAAACAAACAATGAAATCTCACTTCCTTGGATATAATATTGATGGCAAGAATTCTAAGTAATCATCTGCTCTGCTCATTTAGTTTTAAATGAAGACCTGCAGCACAGAACACTACTAGGAAGTAATCAGGAGGAGCTATGTAAAAATGAAGTAAGGCAAGTACTACACAAAGATAAGCCAGGTAAACAAAGGTTTTAATTTCCTACAGGATTTCCTGCAGGTTACCAAATTATGAAGCAGAAGCAGATCATCCTTAATGTATCAAATCTGGTTGTTTAATTTAAATAAAAATATATGACATAATCAGGTAAGTCTCAGTCCAGTTTGAAAATCTAATCAATCAAGAAGTATCTATTTAAAGACCTAGCACCTAGTCTCCAGTACTACATTGTACCAAATATAAGACTGCTCTCTTTACAAAACATGAGTCACTGGTCATCAACCACTAACACAGTGAATGTTCTAATACGCTGGAAAATAAAAACTTATAAATTTCTCTCAAAGTTGCTTATTCTTGCTTTTCCAAGAGACTTCTAGATCCAAGTGAGATTACCTTGGAAATGGGGTTCTTTTAGTCCAGAAAATCTTCAAACTCCAATGCAGTTGAGGGCTAATCAGAGACTGAAAAACCTTTCTAAGGAGAAATGGGCTTGGAAATCAAGTTATCTTATTTTGAATTACCATGTTTTAGTCAGAGGTATGGAATCAATCACCAAGTGTCAGTTCAGAATTTCTGTAATGCACTCCAATGCCAAATGACCACAAACATGTATTTTCTAATATGAGGACTCCTTAATTCAGAGTGGAAGCATAAAAGACTTTGCCAGCTACAAAGTAAATTGCACTTCGAGGCCCATGATCTCTAAAAGTAAGTCTTCTTTAATATAAGAAACTCACTAAATCAAACGAGTCTAAGTAAAGCAAAAATTATGCAACAAAAACTAGGGTAAGAAACTTCTATTCACACAGGAAATACATGGAAGAATTCATCACTGTAAGAGAAGAATCATTTTTCCAGTAGCCCCACTGCCATAAATGATATTTTCATGAGCCTGGGCCACCTTCTCCAATGGATACTGAGAACCTATCACAGGTCTCAACCAACCAATTTCCATTCCAGCTTGAAGGGCTGCAGCATATTGCTGAAATTCCTCCTAAATTAAAAAAAAAAAAGTTTTTAATTTTCTCTTAAGGAGAAAACCATCACTTAGTTTTCAGACGCATTAAACAATTTCAGAATCTATGACTTACAACATAAAAAGTTTCTTACAAATATATGGCTTTTGTCAGCTTGTCCAAAGTTATAGAACAATAGCTCTTTATAGGGTAACCATAGTCCAGTTTGTCTGAGACAGTCTCAGTTTACAAAACATGTATTGCATTAAAGTAATTACTATCTCCTTTCTCTCTCAAAAGTGTCCTAACTTGGAAAATAAGTTATATTGCTGTCCTAGTTATCTAGAAATGAATCCTTAACCCAACAGTTTGTAAACTAAGTTTAACATCCACTTAAATTTTCAGTCTGTCTAGGCAAATTATATCATGTTTACTTACAAAAACCAGAATCACTTTTTCTCTACCTTAGTTGATGAATAGAGAGAAACTCCAATTATGCTAGATTCCTTTGCCATGGTATCCCGGGGTGTTATTTCAATAGGACCTCTGCTACCAACAACCTATTATGAGAAACAGTTTTTCTCCAGTTAAAGATGATTGCAAAATAGAGTTAAATTATGGTAAAACTTCAAAGTGCTCAAAACAAAAAAAAAAAAGGAAACACTTACTACTACTCGTCCTCCACGTGACAGAAGATTCAAATCCTTACTAAGATTTACATTAGCTAACATTTCAATAATTACATTGATTCCACTTTCACCAACAGATTTCTATATGATATAAAAGAATGCAGAGTAAGAAAACAAGTAAAAAAACTGTAAAACTTATCACAGTCCCATATATTACAGAAATATTTCAGATGACATAAAATGTTAATTTTAAAGCTAATGCAAATTTTAAAAAGACTGAGTTACAGATTGTTGATGTAATTCCAAGGTGCAAGCCAAGACATCTAAAATATATAGATTTCTACTAAATAAATGCTATAATGAAATAAAATTTGTCTAGAATTTTCAGACACTTAGTTCAATTTGACTATAAAATAACTTTACCTTAGTTGAAAATTACCTATCTTCAAAATGTATTTTCGCAGAGAAACAAACAACAAATCAAAAATCCAAAACCTCAAGGGGCCTCCCATTTTTATTAAAAAATAAACCAAAAGTCATAGGCAGGATTTTTGCATGTGTGCATTCCGTTTTGTTCCAAATGGTTAACAGTTAGCTTTGATATACTAAATAAGTAAATAATGGTCTATTAGAGTACAAAAGAGAGATATAGTTTTGATTACTGTAATAGCCAGAGAAAGCTCCACAGAGTTGATGACCTGGTTAGGAGTTCCTTATCAGAAAGGAAGGAACACAGTAAGGGGAGGTTAAATATGAGGCAGAGTCAGCCTGTATGGAAGAAATAAAAAAAGCAAAGATGTAAGGGTCTGAGAGTACAAATCAGGATTTAAAAATAGCCCAGCAGAGCTGGAGTATGTATTTAGAAAGGTGAGGGGCAGAGAAGAGGAACAAGTAAGAAGAGACTGTAAACAGGTAGACTGTGCAAAATACATTAAATGCCATATTAAAGAATTTGGACTTTGGGGGGACATTAATTTTTTCATTAAATAATTCATACACCAGGGCCTCCCCGGTGGCGCAGCGGTTGAGCGCTGGGTTGCAAAGCTGCCGGCGACCTCTGCGGCGCCGGTTCGATCCCCGGCTGCTCCCCGGCCACTGGAGGAGGGTCCCACATGGCGCGCAGACCTCTCCTGCCGCCCGCTGCTCCCCTCAGCAGTGTACTTCGGTCCTTCTGCCTGCTCTGCTCCCTGCTCTGGCTCTGGTGAATTCTCTCACCCTCCCGCGCTTCTGACTGTACCCAGTGCATGTATAAACAAAACGAACGAACAAACAAATAAATAAATAAAAAAACATGCCTCTATAAAAAAAAAAAAAAAAAAAAATAATTCATACACCAGACACCATTTTATGCAAAGATAGTCCAGCAGGAAATAAGAAACGCGAAAATTTCTGTTCTCTTAGAGCTCCTGTTTTAGTATTTCTGGAGACTTTTTAAAAGAGATCCAAATAATTCTTGATGCAGTAGAGAAAACAGAAGAGGATATTCATTCAATTATGAGAAAGGAACGACGAGGACTATACCATCATCATAGTGAAGAAAACAGCGAAAAAGATATTTGAAAGGCATGTCAGAGGTGAAACTGACAGAAGGAAGTGACCAGCCTCATCTGGAAGGGAGAATGGTAATTAAAACATAGGAATACAAAATGAACTCCAGGTTTCTGCCTTAGGTAATCAAATGAATAGCACTGTCCAGCAGCTGGTGGCAGGGAGGAGCAGAACTCAGGCCAGAGATAGCACTGGAAATCATCCGAACATGGGTGCTAAATGAAGCCAAGAGGGTACATGAGATGGATGGGGATGAGGACCTAGAGCCTAAGAAGATGAGAGACTAAGGGAAAAAAAAAAAAACAACTAAGGAATGCCAACATTAAAGTAATATGAAGAGAAAGAAGACTCAAAATGAAGTCAGGGAAATATGAGGAGACCCAGTTTCCAGAAGATGCAGTCGTGGTCAACTGTTGTTGAAAGATGAAACGAGCAGCACACTGCTAATTAGGAGCTCACCAGTGACCACTGAGCAGCACTGTGAAATGGGGTGGAAGCCAACCTGCAAGGAACAGCATGGGAGGTAAGGAAGGGTGCTCACCACTTTTTCAAGAAATCTGGTGGAAAAGGAGTCATGAAAGAGAAGAGCGATAAAAGGTTAAGAGTATGTTTTTAGAGAATAAGAGACCTAGGCAAAAGGAATAGTAGAAGACATAAAACTACAGGACTTCATGACCTTAAAAAGCAATTATTGCAAGACAAAAATATATTCTTATAAAAACTGGCTGTTTCTCATCTTTGTAAGTACTCTTGGACGACAGCTCAGGAGTGAAGACATGATTGATTTTAGGCTTCCTAGACATACAATAAGGGAGTGCCTTTCTTCAGTTTTTTGACAAGATGATTTAGTGGTAATAAACTTATGTTTTTCCTCAGTTTGTAATGACCTAGTTTACATAGTAATTGGTACCTGGAAAATTCTAATTCTTTCTCATTGTGAGCAAGTAGTTTGAGAATTAGCAAAATAATCAATGTTTAGTAAATTGCTACTATAGTTCAAAGAGAGCATTTCAGAATCTGCTTGATTCTGTTGTAGCAATGGAATATAAGTAACAACTAACTATGAATGCTTTTTCACTGCTGGATGAGGTAGAGATTATTCCTCCAAAGCATCCAGTTAACAACTTTTATTCCCTAGGCTAGAAAGATCCAGGTTATAATCGATGGATACCTCACCTTCCATGAAGAATTTACACTAATAAAAATTATATTAAGAACACCCTACAATTACAAATTTTGGCAATTTACATTAAAGAATATCAATTTTTATAGCTGTAAGACTCTGGAGGGGCTAATTTTTTATTTTATACGTATGAATAAGACATAAATAATGGTTTGAAAAACAGCCATTTCTGCTTTTTTAAATAAAAACCCCCAAACAGCCAAAGCTATCTTAAAAAAACAAAGCTGAGTGCTCGCTTCGGCAGCACATATACTAAAATTGGAACGATACAGAGAAGATTAGCATGGCCCCTGCGCAAGGATGACACGCAAATTCGTGAAGCGTTCCATATTTTTACCTAATCTCGAAGCTCAAAGATCTAGAAAAAGAACAACAAGAAAACCCCAAAACCAGTAGAAGAAAAGAAATAATAAAAACCAAAGCAGAAATAAATGAAATTGAAACTAAAAAAACAATCCAAAAGATCAATGAAACCAAGAGCTGGTTCTTTGAAAAAATCAATAAAATAGACAAACCCCTAGCCAGGCTCACAAAGGAAAAAAGGGAGAAAGCACAAATAAACAGGATCATCAATGAAAGAGGAGAAATCACAACGGACACAGCAGAAATCAAAAGAATAATCAGTAACTACTATGAACAGTTATATGGAAACAAGTTTAACAATCTAGAGGAGATGGACAAATTCCTACAACTCTACAATCACCCAAAGCTAGATAAAGAAGAAATAGAACACCTAAACAGACCAATTACAATTAGCGAAATTGAAATGGTAATCAAAAACCTCCCCAAAAACAAAAGCCCAGGACCTGATGGATTTACAAATGAATTCTACCAAACATTCAGAGACGAATTAGTGCCTATCCTTCACAAACTCTTCCAAAAAATTGAGAAGGAAGGGACAATACCAAACACGTTCTATGAAGCCAACATTACACTAATACCAAAACCGAACAAGGACAACACAAAAAAGGAAAACTACAGGCCAATCTCCCTAATGAACACTGATGCAAAAATCCTCAATAAAATTTTAGCTATCAGAATCCAACAATGTATCCATAAGATAATTCACCACGACCAAGTTGGATTCATTCCAGGGGCACAAGGATGGTTTAACATCCGAAAATCAATCAACGTTATCCAACACATCAACAAAAAGAAATATAAAAACCATATGATAATATCAATAGATGCTGAGAAAGCTTTCGACAAAGTGCAACACCCATTCATGATAAAAGCCCTTGAAGTTCTTGGGATACAAGGAACATACCTCAACATCATAAAGGCCATCTATGACAAGCCAACAGCCAGTATCATTCTCAATGGTGAAAAGCTGAAAGCAATTCCATTAAGATCTGGAACAAGACAAGGATGTCCACTCTCACCATTGCTTTTCAATATAATACTGGAAGTCCTAGCCAGGGCAATAAGACAAGAGAAAGACATCCAAGGAATCCAAATAGGAAAAGAAGAAGTCAAACTATCACTATTTGCAGACGATATGATATTATACATAGAGAACCCCAAAAACTCCACAGAAAAGCTAATTCAACTCATCAATCAGTTCAGTAAAGTGGCAGGATACAAAATCAACACGCAAAAGTCAGTAGCCTTCCTATACACAAACAATAAATCTGAAGAAGAAGAAATCGAAAAGACCATCCCTTTTGTTATTGAAACAAAAAAAATCAAATATTTGGGAATAAATCTAACAAAAGAGGTAAAGGACCTATACAAAGAAAACTATAAAACACTGTTAAAAGAAATAGAAGAAGACACAAAGAAATGGAGAGACATCCCCTGCTCATGGATTGGAATAATAAACATTATTAAAATGGCCATCCTTCCAAAAGCAATATACAGATTCAATGCTATTCCAATCAAAATTTCAATGTCATTCTTCAAAGAAATAGAAAAATTATTGATGAAATTCATATGGAATCACAAAAAACCCCGAATAGCCAAAGCTCTCCTGAAAAAAAAAGAAGGGAATGGAGGCATCAGACTCCCAGACTTCAAACTATACTACAAAGCCATAATCATCAAAACTGCATGGTATTGGAACAAGAACAGACATACAGACCAATGGAATCGAATAGAAAATCCAGAAATAAACCCACAGATTTATGGTCAACTAATCTTTGACAAAGGAGCAAAGACTATGCATTGGAGCAAAGAAAGTTTGTTCAATAAATGGTGCTGGGAAAACTGGGTCGCTACATGCAAAAGAATGAAGCTTGACCACCACCTCACACCATACACAAAAATCAACTCAAAATGGATTAAAGAACTAGACATAAGACCTGAAACCATAAAATATATAGAAGGAAATATAGGCGAAACACTACGTGATTTGCACATCAAAGACATCTTTACAGACACATCACCCAAAGCAGTGATAGTGAAGGCAAAGATAAACAGCTGGGACTATATCAAATTAAAGAGCTTTTGCACAGCAAAAGAGACAATAACAAAAACAAAGAGAAACCCCACCAACTGGGAGAACATTTTTGCACCCAACACTAATGATAAAGGACTGATCACAAAAATCTGCAAAGAGCTGATGAGACTCAACAACAACAAAGAAAATAATCCAGTCAAAAAATGGGCAGAAGAGCTTAAAAGAAACTTCTCTGAAGAGGAAATGCAAATGGCCAACAGGCATATGAAAAAATGTTCAACATCACTTGTCATCAGGGAAATGCAAATCAAAACTACCATGAGATACCATCTTACACCAGTGAGAATGGCACATATTAAAAAAACTAGCAACAACAAATGTTGGCGAGGGTGTGGAGAAAAAGGAACTCTTCTGCACTGTTGGTGGGAGTGCAAACTGGTCCAACCACTGTGGAAAGCTGTGTGGAGATTTCTGGACCTACTAAACATAGAGCTTCCATATGACCCAGCAATTCCACTCCTAGGTATTTACCCAAAGGACACAGAAACATCAATTCCAAAGAACACCTGCACCCCTATGTTTATAGCAGCACTGTTTACAATAGCTAAGCTTTGGAAACAACCCAAATGCCCAAAAATAGATGACTGGATCAAGAAGATGTGGTACATATATACCATGGAATATTACTCAGCATTCAAAAAAGATAAACACATGCAATTTGCTGCAACATGGATGGCGCTGGAAGGGATCATGCTCAGCGAAATAAGCCAAAAAGAAAAAGAAAAATACCGGATGGTCTCACTCATAGCAGGAATCTAGAAAACTTAAATAATGGACCAGGAAAATGAAAAACTATAAGAAAGTGAAAATCAAAATCAACAAAAAACTATGAACCAGAGACACTTTTAGGGGGGCGGGGGCGGGAGGGGAGGGATTGGGGTCAGAATGGGGGGCGGCAATTGTATGGGGAATATAACAATAAAATTTATAAAAAAAAAAAAAAAAAAAAAAAAAAACAAAGCTGAGGCAACATGCTCCCCAACGTCAAACTACATTACAGAGCTATAGTGATCAGAAACAGTATACCAATTGGCATAAAAACAGACTTACAGATCAGTGGACTAGATTAAAGAGCCCACACATATATGATCAATTAATTTACAACAAAGAATCCGAGAATATATAATGGAGAAAGGACAGTCTTTACAGTATATAGTGCTGGACAGCAGCCCCCCACCCATCCCCACCTGCCTATGACTGTGCAGGTGCCTCTCTTTTTCTTTCTCCTTTTTCTAATAAACCTATCCTTTTAAAAAGTAGAAAGATAGATATATAGATAGACAGAAAGATAGGTAGGGCTCAACAGTTACATATGAAAGGATGAAACTGGGCCATTATCTTACACCTTACACAAAATCAGCACAAATGAATCAAAGATTTTAGTGCAAAATCTAAAACCATAAAATCTTTAACATAAAATGTAAGCAGTAGGCTCTTTGATACTGGTCTTAGCAATGACTTTTTAGATTTGACACCAAAAGCAAAGGCAGAAAAATAAACAAGTGTGAATACAATGAAACTAAAAAGCTTCCACACAGCAAAATAAAACAAAAAAATGATAAAGCAAACTATACAATGGGAGAAAATATTTGCAAATCATAATTTTGATAAGGAGTCATACACAAAGATATATAAAAAACTCAGACAACTCAATAGCAAAAAGCCAAGCGATCCAATTTTAAAAAATGGATCTAAATAGATTTTCTTAAAAAGATATGCAGATGGCTCAGGATTAAGTGAAAAAGTGATCAACATCACTAATGAAAAGCAAATAAGATACCACCTCACACCTACTAGAATGGCTATTAATCAAAATGACAATAGGTAACAGGTGTTGGGAGGATGTGGAAAAAAGGGAACACTTGTGTACTGTTGGTGAGAATGTAAAGTGGTGCAGCCACTTTGGAAAACAGTATGGCGGTTCCTCAAAATACTAAAAATAAAACTACCATATGACCTAGCAATTTCACTTTGGGACATTTATCTGTAGAAAACATAACATTATTCAAAAAGAAATATGCACCACCATGCTCACTGCAGCATTATTTACAACATCCAAAATATGGAAGCAACCTAAGTGTTCACCAATGGATGACTAAAGAAAACGTTACACACAACCACACACACACACACTGAGGAATATTTTTCAGGCATAAAAAATAAATCTTGCAATAAAACATTATGATAAAAAAATGTCAGAGAGAGACATCTCTGACATATCATATAATCTCATTTACATGTGGAATCTAAAAAGCAAAAACTGAACTCATGAATACAGAGAACAGATTGGTGGTTGCCAGAGGTAAATGGTTGGGGTAGAGGGTGAGGTTGAAATGTTAGAAAAGGGTTAAAAAACACAAACACCCAAGTATAAAATAAATAAATCATGGGATATCATGTACAACATGGGGACCATAGTTAACAAAACCGTATTGCCATAAGAAAAAAAATTTGTAACTGTAAAAAAATAAACCTTTAAAACAAACAAGCATAAAAAATACACAGAGGCATTCAAGAAAGCCAACTTCTGTTGATAAAATAATTTTAAAAATATAATTCTTTCATGAAATGAAATTTTACTTTTATAAAATTGTATAATAATTTCACCTTAATTTTATCAATATAATTAACTTCTCTGTGATTAAACACTTCATGGGCTCCATTCTGCAAAACAATCTTTTGTCCTTCCTCAGTGCCAGCTGTGCCCAAAACCTTTAAGCCATAAGCTCTCGCAATTTGGCATGCTGCTAGTCCAACCTGAAAAACAAAATGTAACTCAATACTTTCAGATTCTTAGCATTCCTGCAAATATTCATTAAATGTATACAGTAAGCTCTAGTTCCAATCCCAACTATTAAGGAACTTTGCGTCTAAATGAAGGGAGAAGAGCAACAGCTAACATTTTTGAGCAATTATAATGTACCAGTTGTATGATCAACATTTATTGAATGTTTACATGGTACTTCTTGCAGGAAACTTACCTTTTTTTTTTAGAGATTTATTTATTCATTTATGCATAGAAGAACTGGGGCGTAGGCCAGAGGTGTGGGGGGTGAGAGGATTCACCAGAGACAAAGTGGGGAGCAGAACAGGCAGATCTACTGAAATACACTGCCGTCCCATATGGGTTAGCTCCCTGGCTGGGGACTGAACTCAGACCACAGCGGTGATAGTGCTGTGACTTTATCCCCATGCCACAAGGGAGACCCCAAGACCTTCTATGGGAGGGGAAAGATGACAAATACATGAAAGCAATAATAATAAAATAAATGAATAAAGCAAATTCAGAAAATGAAAAGTGCCTTGAAAAAATAAAACAGCCCACTTAGGTAGAAAGATTTAGGGACAGGGACTGAAGTTAGATCATCAGGAAATATCACTGAGGAAATGATACCCGAAAAAAGGAGGACAAGCCACATGAGGATCTGGAAAGCCCCCTGGACAGTGTGGTAGGCAAAATGGTCATGACTTACCTGGTGAAGTGGGAATGAATTTGGGGTGTTTAAAGGACTGAAAAAGGGTGAATCTGGCTTGAGGGTGATGGAGGACAAGAACAGAAAAACTGGAAAGGAGGCCTCACAAGACTAAAACCTGACTCACACAAGGAGGTGGGGGTCCAGGGGAATAACATGACCATTAACCCAGCTGTAGAGGTCATGACCCTTAGGCACCAGTGCCTTATCACAAGGCATATAGGGAGTGCAGCACAGTCCTGAGGGTAAAGATATGGAGATTGGGCCCACCCTGAAATCTCTGGTCCCTTTCTAGTTTTGCCTGTTACCCAACATCAGCAACAAGCAGCCACTCCACGGAGGAGTGACCCCTCCCAAAGAGAAAAGGGCTATATCAGTGCAGTCTCTGCACAGGCTCGGGGCAGCACTCCCACTGCCCACCTGTGACTATGCAGGTGCCTCTGTCCACCAACTCTCTCCCTCTGCAGGGCAGCAGCTTCCTGCCTGCCCTTGACCTGTCAAGGCCGACTGCCTGCACCTAAGCAGGCCTCTTTCAGCAAACCTGTCCCTTTCCCTAATAAACCTCTTTAAATATAACTAACATCTCTGTCTCATGGAGAAACCAGCCTGGGGAACTCGCCGCGTGCTGCTGAAAGGGGAGCTCTGGTGAAACCTTTCCAAAGTGAATCCAAGGACCCTGCAACTCTACAAACAACATCAAGGGCAGAGTATGTGGGAGAGAGTAGAAGACAAGGCCAGGGAGGCACAGATAGGCCTAGTCACATAGTATTTGGAGAAAAAGCTTTGGATTACATTTAAGAATGATGGAGAACTTACTAGAAAGTTTAAGCAAGAGAGTGATATGATCTAAAGAAAGGAAGGATGACAGCACAAGCATCCCTTACTGATTGTAAAGGAAGGTAAAATCATATTGATTAGACATAATAAAAAATATTATAGTGAAAAATAGTGATAATTAAAATTGCAACAGAATCATAGACCCCCACCCCACCCCCCGCCCTGGCCTAAAACAGATCTTAAAGATGGTATGGTACATGTGAGGGATGAGCCTGAACACAGCTGAGTTAAGGCAAAATAAATTAAAACACACACACACACACACACACACACACACACACACACGTATACATAGAACTCACTGTTCAGAGAGTGAGAGAGACATTCCGTTCCATGAATTATAATACACTATGAAAGACAACTGATTCTGGCTACGTTAATTTTCAATTAAAAATCAGAAAACAGGCTATACTAAAACCACATTTTAAACAAAAAATTTAACATAAATGCATTTCCGTATGATCTCATTACTTTACTGGGGCCCTCAATTGCTATTTTAAAGGCACTGTTCATTCTTCTCAACAACTATTGTAGCAATACCCTTTCAATAGATTATATACCATTATGTGTCAGTTATTTTTTTTTCCTATGTATTTGCTGACCCTAAAATAGGGCACTCCCCACCAACACATATGAATAATAGCTATGTTCATAAATTCCACACCACTTTAAATATACAACATAATCCCAAAGGAATTTGAATTAAATGAGGACAGAAAGTACGAACAGAAGCAAGTCAGAAGCCAGTACTGTTTCCCTCTGATAGGGCAGGGAGGATCAGAAGCGCTTCCCACCAGGTCATCAGCCTGTCCCAGTCAGCCAAGGATTTAACAAACTCAGCCAGCTAGGAGAACAGTGTGGATTTTGCCTTAAAAAGAAAATCGTGGTGAAGCATCCAGGCTTTGTACAAGAGAGTAAAGGGAATAAAAAGAGATTTTCTTTAAAGTCTTCTCTCTTCTTTCTACTGAAATCTCTCCCTTCTACACAGAGCAAGCCTTTAGCTCTCTGAAGCTAAAGCAATTTAAATAAATGCATGTGTTTGTCAGATCCTTTGGTTATTTAGGGTTAAATTTAATTTAACCTAAAGATAGCCTCTTTGGTGAAACAAAACAATGTGAATATCTGACAAGGTATATCTATCATATTTTCTCAAGTCTTATAAAGACACTCTTGGTGTTTCTTAGTAAATAGTCTGATCTGTGAAATCCTTCTGAAGACATCTATTTGAGATTCATAGTAAGCTGAGTGTGAAACCTTGTGATTCATCTATCTAAAGTTAACAGAACACAATGAACTGAATTTTCTGTATTACCTGTAGAGGTAAATTCATATTGTAAGGATGTCACTCATTATTCTGGGGACAATGTCTATGTAATAGGATACTTCTTTCAAGCCACTCGAAGAGTGCATGGTGCTTTGAAAGGGTTAACAGGCTTCCCCAAGGTGAGCCATGTAGCCCCAGGCTTTTTATTTTAAAAATGCGAAAATCTTGTCTCCAAAATTTTTAAAGCCTCTACATGCAGGATAGAGGTCATGTGGATTTCTTGTTAAATTTCAACCTTAGAGCTCTAACTTTTCCTCTAAGCTCCTCAGAGGCAGATTGACAGCCGTTCCTTGAAGAGGTTTTTGACAGCCTTGTGTTGGGTGATTTCACTGATGTGCTTAATTCATAAATTCTGAGTTCTGCCTCCCCTACCCCCACCTCGGTCCATTAGCATTTTAAGCTGTGGGTTGCGGTGTTAAGGACACAGCTGTACACTCTGCACTCCATGAATGTCATCAAAGCTCAGTGGGTAAGCAGAGGAAAGGAGATCGAAAGGACTGAGAATTCACAGTGTGGCTTTGCAGTGCTGTCTGGGGCAACACAGGTACAGCTTTAATGAGCCTTAGTTTTCTTATCTAAGGGAATATGGAATTAATATTAACCTTAAAGAACTGTTTAAAATTCTAATATGATATATGCCATTTGAAGAAAAAAAGAAAAGTTAGTTTATCTTGGTTCGCATCCAACACAGGTGGAAAACCTAACACAAGCATTTCTGATGGATGATCTATTGGACTTATTAACCAAGAAATACTAAACTAATGACAAGGAATCATCTTTAGAATATAGAATTTAAAGAAGCTTCACTACATGCTGAGAAAAAGCACCCTTGACTACATTTACAATTTTGGATTTTAAAAATGACCTAGAAATACAGTGCAAAACTTGCAAAAACATACTCATTTCAAAATAAACTTAAAAAAAAAAAAATACTTACTCCTCCACTAGCCCCATGAACCAGAACACTTTCTCCAGCTCTCACATGGGCACTGCAAAAGAAAGCATAGGTTTATCACCTTACTTTGAAGTTAATTAAGCTCAGATGTTGGTCATTATTCTTAAGGAAATTCTACCCTCAGCTCAGCTAACATCTGCCCAGAGAGGAAACTCATCCTAATATACAGCTCAAAATACTCTCCTAGCTCCACAAAATCAAACAACAGTTCCTCAAAGTTACAGATAAAAGAAGACCTTCAATTCATTCATTCATCCGACAGATGTTTACTGGGAGTCCATTATGCACCAGACATTGTGTGGGACGCGGGGATCACATCACGCTGTTACCTTCTGAGAGGGTGCAGTCCTTGAATGTATAGGTAGTGAAACTGCTGAACTTACAAGAACTGGAACCCCTCATTTGTTCCCACATGCCCCCACAGAAAGTGGCTCAATACAGGTTTATTAGAGTCCACTCATCTTTGCAGTCCAGTGTAATACCCAAGTAAACACAGTAGGGAGACTATTCGCAGGGGTAAGAAAACATTTTTATTTCTCCTTGCCTTTGAACTCGAGGTCATACCAGCCTCTAAGCCCTCATTTCAGAAAGCAATGCCGAGTCAGCAAAGGCAAGAGTGTAAGAAATAGAATAAATCCTGTTACAAAGGTTCCCATGTCGCCCCTTAGAATGTCCAAATCCTCTGGTGAAATGACATATTCTTTTTACTTCTGGTTCATACTACTTTTCTATTATACGGAAAACAAGGAACATACAGCAAGGCAGACAGGGGATGCTTTATCATCCCAGATGGACAAGTGCTAATGTCATAAGCCAGCAGCTGTTGTGTGATCCAGATCTGACTCTCAGGGAGGATCTCTTACTTACTAGAACAATAGGGGGTGGCCACACCGTGCAGACATTATGTTCAGTCCAGGAGTGAGAACACAGTTACCCAGAGTTCCGCTTAAGGCTGTGTGCCAACAGCTGACAAATGGCAATTATGAGCAATAAATGAAGCTTTCTCCAACATTTGTGCTTGGAGATTGAGGACAGTGAGTTATACTGATAATTTGAAGTAATAAACTGAGGTAACTATTACCAAAACTCTTGGATATTTTAAAAAGTGAATTACAAATGAATGGGATAGAATTACTAATGTTTTACTAAGGATATGAAATACTTCTCAATAAATTTTCTTTTAAACATTAAAAACAGCCACTCAAATATTAATGCACATTCTCCTAAACCTCTGGGACTGGAGTGAGTGAAGAAAAAGCGAGCAAAGTCTCCCCTCCCACAACCCCAGCATCCACCCACCAATAGCCCCTACTGTCATTATTCTAACTGTGTAGAGTCTTTGTGGTGATTAATTCTATGTATCAAACTGACTGGGTCATGGTGCCAAATATTTGGTCAAACATGACTCTGGATGTCTATCCAAAAACACTATGAAAGTGTTTTTCTGGATAAGATTGATATTTAATTTAAATCCATGAACTGTAAGTACAGCAGACTACCTTCTATAATATGGACAGGTCTCACCCAGGCAGCTGAAGGTTTGAACAAAGACTGACAATTCCTGGAGCAAGAAGGGATTCCTGTCAGCAGACTGCCTTTGAACTAGAACTGCAACTCCTCCAGGTCTGTATCTGCTGGTCAGATTTTTCTTACAATTTTTTCTCTTTCTCATATACTTGTATTTCACTATCAAGATTCATTAAGCACTTTTTCTGTGCCAGACTCTACTAAGAGTTTTACATGCATTAGCACTTAATTCTCACCACATCCCTATAAAGTAAATACTATTATCTGTTTTTCAAATCAGTAAACTTCAGCTGAGACAGAGAAGTAACTTGCCCAAGGTCACACAACTAGTACTTGGTGAAGACAGGACTCTATTTCAGTTCTTCCTGTCTCCAAAGTCCATGAGCTTAACAGATGTATAAACAACAACAAGACTATAGCACCTCTTGGCCTTGGGATATACTCTTTCTGGTATACTTAGGACTCTGCCCCTACATCTGACTATACTCTAAATGATGATGCTCATCAGGGTTCTATTCTCACTCCACTGTTGTATTCACTACCCGAAGAATTTCAACCACTTTCATCTTGTTGACTTTCTCCTCCATCTCATAGCCCCAAATTTATATCTCCAGGGTTCAAGTTTCAGATTCTTTCATCCAGCAGACGGTTGGATTATGTCTCATCTTCAAGTCCAAACCTAAACTCAGTTTCCCTTTGAAACTTTTTCTTCCCTTTCTTTGTCACAGATAAACATTACCTAAGTTAGAAAGTTAATTCTTAAGCATCTCTCCCTTTCTCCACATGCAAACAATCACTAATTATTCCTGGTTTTATGCTCTAAGCAGATTCACCTTTTTTTTCCTCCACCCAATAACCCTTGCTTTGGCCATAAGCATTTTTTCTAGAGGATTCTCCCATAATACCCCCCAATCTGTTTCTCCATTCCAATCATCAAATCAATCCTCCACATAGCAGGCAAGGGCTCTGAATACCAAATACCATGCTCTTGAATAAAACATTTTATGGTCCCTAATCCCTTACAGAATAATGTGTGAGCTCTATAATCTAGCTTTTCACAATCTAAAAACCTATCTATTTAATAATGGCAGCTGGCATTTATAGAGATTACCATGTCCTAACCTTTTTCTCTGCCACCCTTAGCCTTAAAATCTCTCCAACAAAACTAATTGTTATGGCTCTCCCCAGACATCAGGATGTTTTTCCTCACAATCCAGGCTATTCCCATTGTTTAGAATGCCCTTTCTTCTCCCAGCTACCACTGTCCAAGCAAATTCCCTTGGATCCTTATCAAATGCCTCAGAAATCTGATTACAGACTCTCAGATCCCAGCATGAACCCTGACCAATGAATCTGGGAAAGGGTCCCATCCTGTACTTTTAAATTGAGGCAATTAGTTTCGATGAGTAGAGAGAACAAGATTTTTGAACCATGACTTTAAAATAATCTAAGTCTTATACCTTGTCCCACCTCATCACCACAGACATGCCCCTTGTGATCCCTTTAGTCCCCATGCACATCTCTGTCACTGTACTTTCCATATTATATATAAAAAGCACTCTTATGTCTATCCTTGATTAGGCTGTGAGCATCTTGAAGACAAAGATAGCATTTTGTTCTTCTTTGTATACCTACTGGCTGGAAAAATCTTCCAAATTAGCACTTTCCATCCACAAGTCTTTGATAGTAACTAAATGGTAATGAAAAATGACAGGCAGGAGGATAGACAGATAGAAGAAGGAAGTCAATAAATACTGCCCTTCTTTGTGACTGTAAAATTCACTGTGTGTTGTTACCTGTGAAACAGAGCTCGATAAGCAGTAAAATATGGGACCCCGATGGCTGCCCCTTGTTTAAAGTCCAGCTTCTCTGGCAGTGTGTAAACGGTGTGGTCTGCTGCGACAGCATACTCTGCATAGCCCCCGGTGAGTGTGCCACTCGTGAAGACTCTGTCACCTTTCTGGAGAAAGCAACAAATTAATATAGGCATCAGGAGTTAAAATATAGTGTCCAAATAGACACAATCCTTCATAGTGCAACCTTTATAACAAGCATTAAGTGTTTATTTATATACTATTTTCTACTTCTTAGAGGTTCATAAAAAATAACTTGAAAATACTGAGCATTTTTAAATTTTTATTAATGGGAACGATTAAGGAAAAAAAATGAAGTGAAATAGGTCAAATAAGAGGAAAGAGAACCTCTGGAATAATATGATGATAACAACTAATCTTTATTGAGTGCTTTCTGTGCTAGGCACTGCGTTAACTATATCATTTTTACATGATTTGATCTTTACAACAGTCTGTGAGGTAAGTTCTTTCAACATTCCACTTTAGAGTAATCCCACTACACAGAAGAGGAAATTGAGGTGCAAAGAAGTTTAGAAATTTTCTCAGATCACTTAGTAAATGGCCCTTAATACACATCATTTTTTGTCCAAAATACTTGGGAGAAAAAAACCAACAAAACATAAACTCTCAACACACCAACACCTGCTCTAAATTTATAGAATTCCTCACCCTGACATTTCCCTCATTTTTCAGTCATACAAAAAAAAGTAGCTAACTCTACCTGTCTCCTGATAGCAGGGTAAGTCAGGACAGGCTTCTTCACTTATCACAGTGTGAGAAAAGAATAAACCCTCAATAAATATGTGCATGGTGCTAGGTATTGAAAAGCAGCTGCAAAGCTGAAGGTGTGGTAAGTATGACACAGCATTGCAGACCTGCCCACCTTGACCACAACAGGGAAATTAGCCCACTAGAGACAATTGCCCTAATTCCTCCCTCTTTAACAAAAATTGCTGGAATAAGTAAAACACTAAGGCAATAACTCTCAGTATACTTAAATTTGTACTACAATAAAGATATCTGAAAAAGTAATAGCACTAGGCAGTGGGGTAGAGATAGAACAAATTTCAAGAAGCATCTAGGAAAGACAAATTCGTTTCCTGAAAATGATCAAGCATGGCTACGTTACGATTAATCCTGTTCTGACAGCTTACAAACATGTTAGATTAATTTCAATATAATTCAACATTTACTAAGAACTTGCTATATGGAAAGCATTACTTAGAATTCTGTGAGAGCTTTCAAGAGGAAGACAATCCCTTAAACTTAAGTATCTTAAAGTCTAGGAAGAGAGAGAAGTAAAGGACAGAAATAATTATGAAACAGGCAAGCATGACGCATCATCTAAAATACGTATAAGAAAGTTACTTCCATAGTGAGGAAATAAAGAATAGATTCATGGAGAAGCTAACATTTGAGGTGAGGCAGGGCAAGATTTTGAAAAATAGAAGTGGAAAACATTAGGGGTGAAGGAAACAAAATAAATAAATGAATAAAAGGGACAATGGCAGGACTCAATGCTGAGAAACACACCAGCATATATTCCAATTAATAAGCAGGCTCATGTACAGATGTAATGTCTCAGGGGATAAAATGAAAATAAATTAAAGCTGGAGTGTAAAATTCCTGGAACCCATGTTTATAAGTTTCCATATATTTCTGCCAAGCAGAACCACCAATATGAACAAAGACACAGTGATGAAAGAACATAGAATAGGCAGAGAAGAACAAACAGTTCATGACTAAAGAATAAACTACAGGATGAGACGTAATGGGAGGTAAGAATAGAAAGACAGGTGGGAAAGAGAACATAAAAGAGTCCCCATTCAGAATACTGGCAGTTCCAATAATAACCAGAAATCTGCAAGGAATTAATATAAGAATCCAAACGAAGTTGTTAAACAATCAGAATTATATTTAGAAAATTACTGTCTTTTATGGAAATCCAGATAAGGGACTAAGTAAGATAATCTCAGCTAAATGAATGAGAGAAAGAGAGAGAGAGAGAGAGGGAGAGAGAGAGAATAAGAAGAGAGAAAACCCTTCTAGTCAGGGAGAGCAGAGTGAGGGAGAATGAAGAGATAAGCCTCAAAACCCAGAAGTGACCAAGACTGTCACAGAAGATAGCAGCAGATCTGAATGGAGAAAAGCTAAGCTCAGTTTAGACACAGTAAAAGGTTCCCAGAGGGTGACCTTGCGGGTCCAGTGCTCACTAACTCAACCTCTTTGCTGACAGACGTTTTTTCCATCTGCACTCTTCAATCAGATAGCCACAAGAAGCATGGGGCTACTGGCATTTGAAATGTCACTAGTATGACTGAGGTAGCAAATTTATTTTAACTTCATTTAACTTTAAATTGCCATATGTGGCGAGTGGCTTCATATTAAACAGCAGGTCCAAAGCTTAGTAGAAATTCGAAGCTAAAGATATCACAAATAACAATGGGGGTTAAGGAGGAGCATGAAATCATTGCAAAGAAGATCAAATAGAATAAAAAATGCAGAGGTCTAAGTAGGGATGGAGAGCCCTGGGCAACACCAAGATTTAAGGAGCATACAGAGAAAAAGAGGCTTGAAAAAGGATGCCCAGAGAGGGGAAAAAGAGGGAAGGAGATCAGGAGAAAATGATGTCATAGAAGCTGAGGAAAAAGTTTTATTTAAGAAAAAGTAAGTGGAGGAGAGTGTCAAATGTCACACAGAAGTCAAGAGAGATAATGACATAAAGGGCCCATTAACTCCAGCAATATAGAGGCCATTAGTGACATTAGCAAGAATCATTTCAGTGGAGCATGGGGGCAGAAGCCAGATTGCCAAGGGCTGAGGAGTGGGAAGCTGTAGGAATCTGTCTTCCTCTGTGGAGTGTGTTAATCTTCTCTGTCACAGTCCAATTTTGGCAAATGTGCTGCCAAAGTTGAGCAGGTCAAGAAATTATGAAGAAGGATGCTAGGACATGAATATACTGTCTGTGTTTCATATGTCTTCTAGAATATAACAAAAGCCTTGATCATAACATTTTCATTGACTCAATCACCTTGGTCTGAGTCAGAGCTCTAAAAATACATAGTGACCTTCTACTTTTTCATCTTTTACTTGTTATTCAAAGGAAGTAACATTTTCTTTATTCTGTGAAGGTAAATTTATAGCGAAGAAAAAACCATGTTGGCTTTTATATAATTGAGAATAAAAAAAATAGTGTGATTTCCTTGTTTGTTGACTTTCCTTATGTATTTCTGTTAAATCAAAAGTATCACAGTTCAATTCTGGGGGAAGAAAATACAGAAATTACCTAGCACTTATTCCCAACAATGCAAGCAAGCAAGGCCTCTGGATAAAAAGTAACTTCTTTTTTGACTAGAGGAGTCCCCCAAGTGGTAGGAATTGTGTAGTGGGGCCTTTTCGAAAGAAATATAAACACATTTTAATTTTAAAATATCTTAAGAAAAAGCATTAAGCCAAATAGAATTTAAAATGTAATACCTTAAAAGCAGACACATTATTTCCAACAGCTTGTATTACCCCAGCCACATCTGAACCAGGAGTATAGGGTAAGAGTGGTTTTCTACTGTAAGTCCCAGAGCGAATATATGTCTCCACTGGGTTTACGCCACATGCATGGACTTTGATTAGAACCTACAACGACAATATATTTTATTTTGCACAAAACACTCAGGCGCTCATTCAGAATTACATTAGGACTGTACGGATTATGGAAGCTATAAATATGGAGGAAGAAATCTTACCTTCAATGAATTCCAGTTTTGCAAACCAAGAAATAAAGAAAAACAGAATGACTTATGTGCTATATTAAAAACATTCTGGAAACTACTGGTGGAAATACTTGAGGAGATGTGTGGCATAGATCACTATGAGCTCATCAAACCTATTTCTTCCCTCTCCTGGGTACCTAGGAGGAATATTATTTCCTGGCTTCCCTCACATATATGAGTAACCAAATAACTGAGTTCTGGTCAGTGGGATATTAGCAAAGCAGTGAGTTGGTCACTCTCAGGCCTGACCCATAAAAACCTTCCAAGGAATTCAGTGTGTTTCTACCCTTTCACCTCAGAAGACAAGACTTGAAGGTGGTAAACCCACAGATGGAAGAAGTCTGGGTCCCTGAACTCTGTTGGAAGAGAGCTACCCATGAATGTTTTTCAATTTTAGAATTTAGCAACTGAGAAATAATTTTCCTCTACTGAACCACTGAGTTTTTTTTTTTTTTAAAGATTTTTTTACTTATACAAGAACTGGGGTACAGGCCAGATATGTGAGAGGGTTTACCAGAGACAGAGCGGGGAACAGAACAGGCAGACTGACGAAATATACTGCTGAGGGGAGCAGCAGAGGTCTGCTGCGGCATGTGGGACCCTCGCCGGCCAGCCAGAATCAAACTGGCACTGCAGAGGCTGCGGACAGCTTCACAGGGCAGCGCTCAACGTGCTGCGCCACCAGGGGAGGCCCTGAACCATTGAGATTTTAAGGTTACATCTAGTATTGAAGTTATCACCTTAATTAATACAGAATGTTTTCCTCTGCTATAAGAGGAAGAAGCAGCCTTACAAAGGAAGTAGTATTTGAGGGAGGCCTTAAAGGATGAGCAGAAATTCTTTCAGAATGGGAGCAAATGAATGTTCCAGGTAAAAGAACTGGTATGTATAAAGACAAAAAGAATGAAAGGGTCTAAAGGGGAAATCAGATAAAGCTTGATGCTGTTACAGCACAGTCTATTAAGAAAGAGTGCTAAGAAAGAAATCTGTACAGATGGGTTATGACCAAATAGTAAAAACTCTCATAAATAAGACTTGCTAAGGAAAACAGGCTTGGGAGCCATGGAAGGTACCATAATAAAAATACTTACTTTTCATTGAAAACATATATTGCTACAGTCATTAGAAATGATTAAACCCTACATTTAAATTCTCTTTAATTATATGTGAAAAAAAAAGCATGTATACAGAAGGAAACTATTTTCTCACTATGAACAAAATAAAAATTATGAAAACTTGTAATGGAATAACTTGTTTAAAACTACCTGTGATTTCAGAAAAATACAATTATTGCAATACATAGATGATTCTCAACTTCAAAACTCTTCTAACCAGAAGTTATTCCTTTTCATATATCTATGGCGCTAATTATTAGAATTATGTTATCTTTGTCAGAGCTCATGCATAGAAGCAGCGAAAACCTTGTTCTAATGCAATATCATTACAAATCATTCTGAGTGTGCTCCTTTTGAACATTAACTTGATATGTCAGAGGCTCAGTACAATTATTGCCTGTTTTTAAGTTATTATTTCCACCTGATTGTCTTTGGGAAATGGTATAGCAACATCAGATTGGAGTTTCAGTACTTCTGGTCCACCAAATTCAAAAACTCTAATGGCTCTCATCAACTTCTTTCCAGTCGCCATGGTGATCTAGATACTAAGAGAAAAAGAGAATGTATTGTCATATTGTATCTAGACTTTGAGTGTTTTTTTTCCCCCCTGGAAGGGGCAGATCAAACAGTTTTTCAAACAACAATTTAAATCATGGGCTTACCACTGATCTCATTTCATGTTAAAGCACCTTTCATCTTACAAATCCTTCAGCTACAAAGCAGAATACTTGATATTACTTCCTGTAGGGATTCAGTGCCTTCAACAGGGAACCAAACATGCAAACAAAAACATCTGGACAGATATAGCATAATACAGTATCTTAGGTTTCCTTTTATGTAATTCTGGACAGCAATATGTTAGAAATTTTTGGAACTAAGTTTTGTTAACATTAGATAAATAGACCTTTCATTGGATTACAAAGTATTTAAATACATAAAGAAATATAATGAATACAATAAACACAATTACCTGTCAACACAATTTTTACAAATCTTAATATTTTAAAAACCTAAAACATTACAGATATAGCTGAAGCCTCCATCTGTAAATCCATTTCTTGCCTATCCTTTTAAGAGGTAGGGATTTTCATAAATTCAGGGTTTACCATTCCCGTGAATCTTGTTATCTCACCACTCCATTTATAGGCATTAGTAAACAATATATGCTATTTTGGGCATGTTTTCAAGTTTTATTTAGATTGGATCATATTATATTTAATTTTGCATCTTGCTTTTGCCTCCCAGCAGCTAAGTATTTGAGATTTATCAATGTTGAAACATTGACTTCATGAATTTCATTCATTTTAATGAAAGGGGACAAATGGAAAACACTTTTGTATATAATCTTTTATAATTCTAAGGGTAATTTATGGCTATCCTATCATTATGTATTTTAAAATGTAAACAAAATCTGATTTAAAATAAACCATAAGACAAAATAGAGAACATTTACATATAAAATTAGGTGACTAGACATCTCTTGTATGTATATGTAATGAAAGGGTTTTGACTCTATCTCCATGATTTTATTTATGAGTTATTACAATTTCCTGAAATTAACCACATCAAATCTTGTTAAATTTTGCCACCACCTAGAATATCTTTGCTAACTTCTGGAATAGTCATATTCATCAAACACAAGTGACTGAAACATCAAAAAGAGTTGTAGAAGCTAGAACTTGAGAGGAAAGAATTCAGACTTTTACTACGTTGAAGCTCAACTCAAGGCTATTTCAAACAGAGACTATGCTGGCTATAAAGTGCATTTCATGTACGGGAGAGGGGACACAAAAGCATTTTGGCGGTGTTATTAATGGAATGTTCTTGATATAATCAATCAAAAGTTGTGTCATGGGCCTCCCATGGTGGTGCAGGCAGTTGAGCACAGGGCTGTGAAGCTGTCTGCAGCCTCTGCAGCGCTGGTTCGATCCTGGCTGGCCTGGTTTGATCCTGCCTGGCCTAACCCGCTGCTCCCCCAAGCAGTGTATTTCAGTCAGCCTGCCTGCTCTGTTCCCCACTCTGTCTCTGGTGAATCCTCTCACCCTTCCACACATCTGGCCTGTACCCTGATTCTTGTATAAAATTAAGTAAATCTTTAAAAAAAAAAAAGTTGTATCATATTAAAACCCTTTATTTTAAATTATTTAATATACCACCTAACACAATGGAGAAAGTGAATTTTGCATTGCTCAAAGCTTGTTTAGCATTGATATATCCTAAAGGTCAGGCTTCAAATAAAAATAGAGTAAACAGGGGCCTCCGTGGTGGTGCAAAGGGTTAAGCACTGCACTATGAAGCAATCTGAAGCCTCTGCAGCATGAGTTTGATCCCCAGCTGGCCAGGGAGCAACCCACATGGCACAGCAGACCTCTCCTGTCTTGCCCGCTGCTCCCCTCAGCAGTGTATTTCAGTCAGTCTGCCTGTTCTGTTTCCTGCTCTGTCTCTGGTGAATCCTCTCACCCCTCACATCTCTGGCCTGTATCCCAGCTCTTATAAGCATAAATAAATAAATATTTAAAAAATAAATAAAAAATAATAAAAATAGGGTAAACACAAGCAGAAAGCATAAGTCTAAGCACATGCACTGGAGAGCAGCTAAGCAGGCCCTAGGGTGACAAGAATGTCAGAGAACTACGACTGGGGAAAGACTGCCCACTGCATACAGACTCAGCAGTCTCACTATTCTATTTCTACTTAGGTCTTCACTCAAGCTAAGAATTTCTTAGACAAGAAACTGAAAAAAGACTTTTATGATTTACTTTGCTTCCTTTGGTGACTCAATTCAAAGAGCATGGGAGACGAAACAAAATAAGTAAGTGGAAATCATCAAACTAAAAAGTGTCTTCACAATGAAAGAAACGAAATGAAAAGGCATTCTACTAAAAGGGAGAAGCTATCTAAACACCATTTATTCAAGAGGTGCATCCAAAATACATAAAGAATTCATAAAATTCAATAATAAAAAGCAATCCCATTAAAAATGGGCAGAGGACCTAAATAGACACTTTTGCAAAGGAATCATTAAGACAGTGACCGGATGGAAAGATGTTCTTCATATCTTATTAGGGACATGCACATTGAACCCACATATCTGCCGGAATGGTTATTATCCAAAAGACAGAAAAGCAAGTGTTGGGAAGATGTGGAGAGGAAGAAACCCTTGTACACTGCTGGAGGCAACATAAAGTAGTGCAGCTATAATGGAAAGCAATATGAAGATTCCTTAAAAAATTTAAAACAGAAATTCCATATGATCCAGTTATCCCAGTTCTGGATATTTACCCAAAGAATACAAAGCATTAATTCAAAGAGAAACATGTACCCCACCACCCATGTTTCACTGCAGCATTATTTATAATAGACAAGAGTTAAAAACAACCTAAGTACCCTTTGGCAGGTGAGTGGCTAAAGAGCTGTAGTATACAGCCACAATGGAACACTACTTAGCTGTAAAAGATGGAATCCTATGAACTTGCAACATGAACAGACTTAACAGGTCTTAGTGAAGTTAACTCAGAGAAAGACAAACACTGTATGATTCAGTCATATGGTACACAAAGAAACAAATGAACTAAATTACTAAATGAACTAAATTAAAAAAATAAACTCTTAAACAATAAAAGCAGTTAGTGTTTACCAGAAAAAAGGGGGGAAGGAAGACAATAGAATAAAAGGGGTCACTGCATGGTGAAGGATAGAACTGAAATTTTAGGGCCTACCTGGTGGCGCAAGTGTTAAAACACAACCTATGAAGCCATCCGCAGCACGAGTTTGATTCCCGGCCAGCCAGGGAGCAACCCACGTGACACAGCAGACCTCTCCTGTCTCACCTGCTGCTCCCCTCAGCAGTGTACTTCGGTCAATCTGCCTGTTCTGTTCCCCACTCTGTCTCTGGTGAATCCTCTCACCCCCCACACCTCTGGCCTGTACCCCAGCTCTTGTCTGCATAAATAAATAAATCTTTAAAAAAAAAAATCTGAAATTTTAGTGGTGAACTTAATGCAGAATATACAGCTGTTGGTTCATAATGAAGCATACCCAAAACTTATATAATATTATAATGTAGTTTTACCTCAATAAAAATTTAAAAATATTCATAGAAAAATAAATCAGATTAAAAACAAAATGTTACCTAGATCAGAGTTTTTCATCAGGAAGTAAGAATCCAAAATACGAACTATTTTTTTTTCCTTTCTGTCTTCAGCATGGTGTTATGGTTAGAAAGTGGATTTTGGAAACCCCCCCCCAGTTCTAAATCCCAGTTTCATTTACTAGTCACATAGCTGTGAGCAAGGCAGACAAGATTTTTGAGCTCCCTATCTGAAAACAGAGCTCCAGCTCAATGTTACTGGAAGCATCAAGCACAGAACCTGACAAATTTTTACTCGTGTGTCTAGTAGATGTCATTATTCTTTGCCCAACTGTTTTCTCCTTTCCAATTTCTTATTCCTAAGGATATATTTGATTCTATAATTCTATAGTCATCTTTGATTTAATGTAACTAAATTTAAAGGATTCTGGTTGTATAAACAAGTCCTTAACCTCGAGTTCACTGTCTTGACAATCATTTAAACAAAACATTAATACCAAACATTGGCTGTTATTCATTCAACATGCATTTTTGAACATTAACTCTAAGGAGGCACTGCGCTAAACCCAGAGAACAAAAGGGTAAAGAGAAAATGCCCCTGTCCTTGTCCTAGCTCCTGTTCTTTTCTGCACTCTCTTCTTCCCCACAGGCACACACACCCTGTGAGATGAGTAGCTCTCTTCCCACTTTCAATATCTACCTACCTCCTACCCATTACTTTCTTTCAAGCACTTGCATCTATCTTTTCACCAACCAACATCACTATTATCCTCAAAAACTATAGCAATAATAAAAGCAAAATTATCTTGAAATAGGATCTGTCAAAGATATCTGGCACATACTTTTCCCCCCTACATTTTGACATTTTGCTAAGTTGGTAGAAAAGAACACAGGAGGAGACTCATAGTTACTACTGCATTTGCAGGACCCACCTGCCTCGCCCAGTACTACCCTCGTATGCTACTGAGTTTGGAAGGAGAAGGGGCATGACCTTCACAACTAAGTCTTCTACTTTGCTTCTGTCGATCTTACTTCCCATAGAGCCTTTGCCACTAAGATTGATCAGGCTCCACTCTGCACTCGTTACCACTGAACCCTCTCAACTATTCAAAGAAATCACCATCTGCTTCAAAAAAATGTTGTACAATGTCAAAAAGAATGAGAAAAGAATAATATAATACTAATAATAGCTATGATAATTCTTATATCCCTGCAATAAATGATTTCTGCCAAAAAGCATGTCTTTCACCTCCATTAAATTATTTTCATAAGATGGAGAAGCACCCACCTATTAAAACCATCATTTAATTGTATGCAAAAGTGAAAATAAAATCACTATTTATTCTATACATGAGAAAATATTCCAAGAGGTTAACAGACTCATCAGGGTCACAGAGAAGGAATTTAGAACCCAAGTCTTATACCCTGAAATGTTAGGTGATTTCCCCCCTTACTGTACAATCTTTTTTGTCTCACTTTTTGAAATATTCGCACAGAGGACTCTTAATTTCTTAGATATACACCTTATAATGCTATTGAACCATCTGTGGCGAGCAAATCCTATAAGTAGGATAACATATTTTATAATTCAAGCCTCTGCTTAGAATTTGAAATTTTTCAAATGCCCATAAATTAGGGGATCAACAATGATACACAGAATACCATTCTATTAGGAAAACTAGTAATTTTCCCCATCTGTAAGAGGGGACCAATTACCCCAGGCACAGGTTCCTAGTGAAGATGAACTGCACATGGTGAGCATCTCACAGCTTGCCTAGCATGCATTCAAGTTCTGTTACTGGGCAGGCTGAGGAGTACCCTGGAACCCCCAAACCCACCCACTCTAAATAGGTTCTGCCATCTGCTACATCAAGACAAAACATACTCTAGTGCATAAGACCTTTAATGGAAAGGAACTTTAATACAATTTGTGTGCAATCTAGTGAAGGGAAAAAATAAACTAGTTTCCAAATCAAGCTCACAAAGTTACCCATCCCCTTGTGGTTAAATGCCCAAACAGGGTTGGCCCAAAGCAGGACCACTGAAGCCCCAAAGCCTGCCACAAGTCTATGGCACCTTCTGGTGGGAACACATAGGAAAGGGACAGAAGAGGCCTATCACGTCTAAGACAGAAGGAGCAAAATCAATATCAAGATAAATGCTGCCATTGTTAACCTCCCCACAGTTTTCTCATCTACATCTGTTTCAACCAGTCCAAGACCAAGAAGCAAGAGCAGCTTCTTCACATGTCTCTGCTCAATGTGCCTCCTCCAGGTGTCCTTCTGGCTCTCCTTCCTTCTTTCTTTTCTTCCTCCAGCCTCCTCTCCAGCTTCTCCTCCTCACTACTCAGTTTGACCCTCCCTTAGGTGGGGCAGAGAAACTGGAACCTCCCCTTTTCCTAGGGACCACTTTGTTACAGTTCTATTATTCAGACTGAACCATTTGTGGTAGCAGGCCTGTCACGTTGTATTTTTTAAAATTAAACTAATAAGGTTTCAATTTATTAAATATAAACTTTAAAAATTAATTAGAATGCCTTGGTTTTAATTTGTGGTTTTGAATCCTAGGGCAAGTTAGGGATAATTAGGCAGTCTCAAGGACAGTGCAGGGACTACAGGAGAGTTAAGGAAGGCTCCAGAGATAAGGGCCACAAATTCCATAGGGGACTGATCAAACACCCCAGGACTTATGACATTAGGGACTTACTTTATGACCTTAGGGTCAACAAGACATACCAAATAAAGGAAATGAATAAAGAAAGATAAGGGCTGGGACACTGAGATTTAGTTCCAGGCACAGAGACATTTAGGCAGTGAGTGAGACCACCAAGAACCAACCAATTATAAAGAGACTGGTGGAGCTTTAGAATAATTAGAGAAAGAAGGTATATATTCCCTGAGACACAACTCCACTTTGGCTTCCTGGCCCCTCCCTGGTCTGGTTTCATGGCCTGGGAGTCCCGCTTTATTTCTGTTCCTTTTATCCTCAATAAACTTTTTTTTTCTCTAAACAAACCTGCCTCTTCTTGCTTGCTTGCCTGAGCGTCTGCGAAGTTCCTGCTACAGCTTCGTGAGACACCAACCGGTGGTGGTCTAGTGGCTGGGACTCAGCGCTGCCTTTGCAGCCTGGGATCCATTTCTGGCTGGGAGAATAGGCCTGAAAATCTACAATTCCAGTATCAGTTTTACTTAGTTAACTACGACAGGTTGCCAACCATACTTTGTAAATCCAGGAATATGAAGTTAAAATTCTTCTTCAAACTGTGAATTTTCCCTTCTATGCTTGAATCCATTTGGTTTAAATGAAATTTAAAGGCAAAGGAAATTTAGAAATATATTATTTTAATAAAGAATGAACATATCAACTCACAAAGCCCAAGCAAAGGCACATCAGGAGAGAAGAGATATAACACAAAATAAGAAACTTAAAGAATCAGTCACTATAAAATGTTCCCTGGTTGATCAAGAATGACACATGTAAGCATATTGTTTAGTATGTACATGTAAAAAATAAGCAAACAAAAAATTAAAAGTGGTCAAAGAGAAGTTTCTTCCTGGCTTTGAAATTTTGTCAGCTTTTTTCACAGGTCTGAATATCAGTGTCTACTTCTGATAAGAAGGAAAGTGAGGGAACAGTTGACCAGATCATTCTAAACCCCTCCAGCTGTCTTGATGAACAGATAGGTTGGCACTGGGCAGGTTACTCTCCAAAATGTTGGAGGAGAGCTTGGTGGGGTTGCTGTTGGTGACCAGACACTTTTGGAGTGTCCTAGTAGCTTCCGCAGGATCACAGTCATTTCTACTAGCTGCCAATAAGTAGAATTTAACCTTTAAATGGCTAATCATTTACACCTTTCCTAACCACTGCAAAGAGTCCCCTCTAGAAATTATGTAAACATGTAAACACCCAGTGATGTATTAACAGAGTTTGTAATCCGCCCCCTCCCCCCTCCCCCGCCTCCTTTGGGGATAATAATTCTAGGTGAAGGCCACTGGGGGTCGAGGGGTGGGGGTGGGGGAGGCAGAGGAGAAAGTCCAAAATAAACTACATTTGTCTACAAAAGTAAGACGGTAACTCTAACAATTGCAAAGCAGGGGGAAGACCAGGCAGTAAAAACTGGAAATTCTCAACTGCAGGCCAAAGGGGAGAAATCTACAGCTGGGTTGAGGGGAGGACGCAGCAGACGCACGCGCTGTCGTAGAAATGGCCAAGGCCAGGACCCGTCACAGCGAAAATCACGCGGGGGTGTTCGTATGGGGGGGGGGGCCAATATGCACCCCAGGGTGCGGAATCAAAATGCTAATCCTACTGGTACCTAGGGCTGAGCCTCAGGACTGGGATGTAAATCTCCCCAGGTGATTTACTGCGGAGGAATTTGCAACCCCTGAAGCAGAACGACTTCAGCCAAGGGCTCCTTCCTAACTCACAAGTTCTTGGGGAGCCTGTGCGGGGCAGGGGCACAGCCAAAATCAAACTCGAGGCCATTTGGCCTAGCGGAAAGGAAGTCCGCTGCCTGCACCACTAAAGGGACTTTTTTTTAACCACTTACCCGGTTAAATTAGGGAATCAAAACCCTCCGGGGCTCGCTCAGGCTCCCAGGTAAAGGAAGGCGGGCCGGGTCCACCTAGAACACTTGCAGGCTCCGCCTCTCCCCGCCCACAGGGAGGGCAAGAGGCTCCCGAGTGCGGAACGAGGAAGTTTGGACCTTCTCGGCCACCGCTCCTTGCAACATGGCTGCCCCCAGGGAACGGCGAGAACGAACGTGGGAACACAGACCCTGAATCCCACCACATGGATCGCAGCGCAGAGTTTAGGAGGTGGAAGGCGCAGTGCCTGAGTAAAGTGGACCTCAGTCGGAAGGGCAGTTTGGACGAGGACATTGTAGAGCTTGTGCAGGTCCTGAACCGGCAAGAACAGTTTTTCACCACCAGTTCCTGCTCTGGCCGCATCGTGCTCCTAGATGGGGTGAGAACCAGCCCTTTGTGCCCGTCCAGCGGCTGCTCACTGGATCCCTGTGACCATTCAGTGCAGTATTTAAGTACAGACTGTTTGTCCTTCTGGTGGATGGCATCGGTTTATTTAAGACATTTAGAGGGTGAATTAGATCAGTGTTTCCAAAAACTCGAAGGTGTTTATCACCTGAGGATCTTTATAAATACGGATTCTGATTCTCTAGGTGTAGGGTGGGCCCTGGTATTCCGCATTTCTAACAAGTTCACAAGTGATCCTTAAACTGTTGGCCTGATAATGCTCTTGAATTGTAAAGAGAATTTGATTTTGTAAAATGCAGGAGTCTGAAGCGGCTGCTGTGCTCTGTTGTTCCTCTTGCCAATCATTGTTTATACCTGATTGAACGTCGCCTAGGTGAAGGAGTTTACCGCCACCTAGTGAACCACTCAATTATCACAGCTCTTGTAATTTTATTTTTCTCTAAGTGCATCAGTATATATAGTCTGAGATAGTGGTCAAGCCTTCAGGCTTTGCAGTGATACTGCTTAAATGGAAAACCAGTTATGGGAATTAGGGGCTATATGATCTTAGGATAGTTACCTAAACTCAGGCTGTCCCTGTTCCACGAATTGAGGAGAATAACTGCTTCATAGAGATTTTCTTTGGTGCAAATGGGGTAATATGAAACATTTATAACGTGCCTAACCCATATTAATACACTATAAGATAAGTAGGTATGAATTTTAGTATTCTGATTGACTTCAGGACATTAAAGATAGCACACTCATAAGCTCTTTCTTTAAATCCCTCACACATCCCTTGTTGGCCTCCCAGATTAATGGGGCCCCTTGGTTTTTAGATTGCTTTTATTGCCTCCTAAGCACTGGCACTCTTGTGCACCTTGCTTTCTCTCCTCCCTGAACCTCACTACTCAGTACTTCTGCCCTATCTCACCTGGATTTTTGTAGTCGTTTTCTAATAGATATGTCACTGAACTACTATTCTCTCTATCTCTAAGCCATGTTATACAGTGTTAACAAAAGCAAAACTGCATGTAACTCACCTGTGCTGAAATCTTTTATTCCATATTTTTCAACATCGTTAACTCTAAATTCTTACTCCAGTTTACTTTCAGTCCTTTTCTCCACTACTCTTCAACTCCATTTACTGAAAACTATTTTCTTTTTCGACTTATATTTACCTCTCTTTGCCTTTGCTCAAGTTTATTTTTCCTGAAATGGTTTCCTCATCTCAGCATATCTGAAACATGACTGCCAAAACTCCTCTCCCACCTGAACACAGACACAGACATTCACTTGGAAGTAATGACTACTTTTCCTGAACTGCCTTTGAATGTTTTCTGAACCTTTTTTCATTTTGTATATTACACCTTGCATTATCTTTTTATTTTTACTAATGTTCCTTGTTTCAAGAATAATTTTGATTAACTTACTAAAAAGCAATACAAGAAGAAAAATAAAAGGGAAAATCTAGATGAAGGGACTACAGATCAGATGAAACCAATGATGGCTTTAATTCCTGAAACTTGTGATTAGGGCCTCCTCTGGTGGCGCAGTGGTTGAGCACTGGGCTGCAAAGCTACCTGCAGCCTCTGCAGCGCCGGTTCGATCCCCGGCCACCGGCGAGGGTCCCACATGGCACGACAGACCTCTCCTGCTGCCCAGCTGCTCTCCTCAGCAGCGTATTTCTTCGTCAGTCTGCCTGTTCTGTTCCCCGCTTTCTGACTGTACCCAGTGCTTGTATAAATAAGTGAATAAATAAATCTTTAAAAAAAGTAACTTGTGATTAGATGCTGTGCATTTGCTAGAGGTAGGCTACACATTTAGCTAAGATTTAGATCAGTCCGCAACATCAGATACAGAAATCACCAAGGTCATTCAATGAAAACCAAAGTAGATGTTAAAGACAAGCATAGTCTTTCCTGGTTCCAAGGCCAGACAGCAGTTTCCTGTGGACCCATTGTATAAATAGTTACTTTGTAGAAATATATAGTTATTTAAAGCTTGTGGTTTCCTGCATCTTTCCAGGGTCCTTGAGGGTAGAATCTGTTTATACCCAAAGTATCTAATAGAACTTTGCAAATAAACATTTTTTGCAGATAGTAAACAAAAAGTTGATGTGAAAATATCTGCTTTCTTGAAACTTATTTTTCAGTTCTAGTTATGCCCTGTGAGGGTACATATGAAATCTAATCCAGAGACCAGCAACACATTATAAGAATGAGCAGCACATCTGTCAGAAAAAAGTGGAGGTTCTGTGTGGCATTGAAACAGTGCTTCTTACCAAAGAAAATTTTATTTTGTGCTAACTAAATAAAACAATCCAAGTCAGGGGCTGCTAGTATACAACCCCTTGTAATAATCTTTCTCCTAACAAAACCATGATTGTATTTCAGAAAATATTTATTAACAGATTTTCCCTCAGTAAACAAATTATTTTCTTTCTATCTCAAATTATTTTCTTTCTGTAAAGTCAAGGCCAGGGCAGGGATGGGGCGAACAACCAGTTCCAAGAGGAAAGCAACTTTTTTGAAAAGCAATTTCCACTCTGCATTCTCCACCTCCTACCAAGGCCAGACCCCTCATTGTAAAAGCTTACCCTCATCCCCCAATGGGGTGCGGGTGCAACTTCTCCAACCCCAGAGGGGGTCGGTGAACCCTGGGGGAGCAGGAGTACAATAAATTTCTTGCCTGTCAGAAACTTGGCCTGTCTCTCCTTCTCTTTACCTGCCAATCCTTTCACTTTCTACCTCATGTAATTGGTTTCTTTTTTTGTGTGCAATTAACTTACCCAAAAATCTCTTGAATTTTTCTCATTAATACTTAAAATTATCACTTGGGATTATTAATTTAGCTGTGCATTGTACTTATTTTTTTAAATGTTACATGATATATATGACCTCATTTGTTATTTTAGGGTATAAATGGCTTTGAGGTTCAGAAACAAAACTGCTGCTGGCTACTGGTTACACACAAACCTTGTGTAAAAGAAGATGTGGTAAGTTTTTATATATAAACTTAGAAATAAACTTTGTAATTCATAGTCACTTTCAATACAGATGAAAAGAAGAAAATTCAAGTTGATTTAAATGCATAATTATAGTAAGTGGAGATTATAAAGCCTAAAGGATAGTCATTACAATAACTTTATGGTCTATAGGAAATAAAAGTATAATTACTTACAGCTGTTCAACAAAACACATTTGCTAGAGGTAGGCTACAGGAGTAGAGCTGGCATCAAGTATTACTAGTTCTGGGATTGAAATGTCTTTAGAGTACTCCATCCACACCTTTAGGTACTGATTCTCTCTGCATATTTCCCCTTATTCTCTTGCTGCAGGTGATCTTTGTGGGAAGAAAGGTAGATGTCAGCAATCTCAGCAGAATGACTTTTCCTAAGATCCATGCATCATTCCTAAAGAATAATTCTGGGTTATCCTGCTTGGGTTAGGTGTCTCCCCCAAAAAAATTTTTTTTTTTTTTTTAAGATTTATTTATCTATACAAGAACTGGGATACAGGCCAGAGGTGTGGGGGGGTGAGAGGATTCACCAGAAACAGAGTGGGGAGCAGAAGAGGCAGACTGACTGAAATATACTGCTGAGGGGAGCAGCGGGCGAGTCAGGAGAGGTCTGCTGCACCATGTGGGTAGCTCCCTGGCTGGGGATCGAACTTGTGCTGCAGTGGCTGGGGACAGCTTCATAGATTGTGTCTTAACCCCTTTTGCCACCAGAGACGCCCCATAAGCAATTATTTTGGCCTGTAGAATGGAATGCTGTCCTTGAACAGCCCCAGGCATGTTGTATCACTGATTATATGATAGCAGGAGGGATGGGTGACAAGGTCACATTTAATAGTCTCACCAGAGTCAGATGTTATGAAGGATGGAAGCTGCTGCTGGGGGATACCGGGCAAACAAATAACAACTTCCTTGTAAAAATTCTAGCTCATTACATTGTGGCTAAACCTCAATCTAACAAAACATTTATACAGAACATCTAGTTTAGCCTTTACTTATTTTATTCCTAAATGAAAAAATCTATTACAGAATTACAACAGCAGATTACTTTGTAAAGGTATGTTAGAATGACATGAAAGATGGGAGGATTGGGAATCAAGTCTTTAAAAAAAAAATAGCATGCTAATAAGTTTTTGGAGACACAGGACCAATGAGACAAAGTTATTAGGGAAAAACATATGCTGGATGAGTCAGAAAATTTCTGGGGAGAACTGAGTCATATTTGATGCAGGATCATCAAAGAACTCTATATTTGTGTCTGATGTTAACATCTTTCATTTGTTTAGATTGCAGCTCTGAAAAAAGTGAATGGTGATGCCATTTTGAAATTTGAACCATTTGTTCTTCATGTGCAGTGTCAACAGTTACAGGATGCACAGATTCTGGTAAAATTTTATACTTGAATTGATAGGTATGTAGGTAACATTGATTTTAAACTTCAAATCCACTAAAAATTAAATGCATTGTTACTTGTTTTTTATTTAAGTATAGGCCTAGGATTATATGAGTTTCTATAGTTGTAGAGCTAAGCACTTTTACCTGATTAGTCAGATATTCAGAATTTTAACAAGCTTACTTTCTTACAGCATTCAGTGGCAATGGATTCTGGTTTTAGGAACTCTGGCATAACAGTGGGAAAGAAAGGAAAGACTATGTTGGTAAGATACCTTTGGGCAAAAAGCAATTCTTTGTGCATGAGGTGATCCAAATTATTAAATAACCTTCTAATTAGACTTTTAATTAAACTCCTACCTTTAGTCTCTCCCTCCTCAAATCTTTTTTGCTATTCCCTTTCTCAAAGAACCTTCAGTGCCTTACTATTCTTTCCTACAGATAAAGTCGAGAATTGCTAGATTTACATTTTATGGTGACGCTCTGTGTTCTCATCCTAGTGAAGGCCCAATTTAATAACTAACATGATGTGGTGGGAAGATTACAGAGTGTAACGTCCTCTGTATGGATACTCCCTGGACCCCTGCTATACTGTATGAATCGTGTATGCAGCTCTTCAATCCTTCAGGGTCTGAATTTTCTCAGGGTTCAGCAAACTACTACACTAGAGCTAAGTCTCTGGTGGGGCTAGATCCCACCATACTCATTTGATTATTATCTAAAGTATTTACTGCTTGGCTGGCATGTATTGTTTGCCTCGATCTAATTCTGATTCCAACTCCCTGGACTTTCTTATTTTCTATCTAATTTAAACAAATAACTTATTTTCCAAATAGAAATATCTTACAAAAGTCACCTATAAAGAGTGACTAAATAGAAAATCAAAATCCATGGCCCTGGTTATGTCCCCTTCTCACTACTCATGTATCTGGTGGCCCAAGCAAGAACAGAGCCACTGTTTTTTCTTCCTCTCCTTTTTCTTCTCTGTTCAGTTAGTTACAAGTCCTATCAAATCTGCCTCCAGTTTATCACACATGATGCCACCACTGTCCCTACTTGAGCTGTCATCACCCTTTACCACCATCTTTACAGTTGTCTTCTGACTGGTCTTCCTGCTATCCATCTCCTCCAGTCCCTCCAACCAATATTGTTGGAATCCCTCTTTAAAATAATTCATGATCTCCAAATACTTTCCCTGATATTCAAGGCCTTTCACAAACTATTCTGCATCTACCTTATTTATGCTCACCTCCCACTAGTGTATTTATGCTCCAGCTGCACAGAAATGAGGTGTGTGTCTCTTGTCATAGCACTTATGTGTGTTGTAATTCTTTGCTCACCTTTTTATTTCCTGTTGTAGAATGTGAGGTCTTACAGGCAGGGGGTCATGTTATATTCATCATAGATCTCCACACCTTACATGAGGCCTCAAACATTGCAGATGCACAGTAAGAGTTCATTGCATGAATTTTTTATTCCTCATAATAGTTTTTGTCGTTCATCTTAACCTATATCCAGTGTTTAGATCTACTTGGGAACATGCTGAAGTGTTTCATTAACAGGGTTACTAAGATTGGCAAACCCCAAAGCATCGAGAACGCGGCCACTTTTTAAGGTAGAAGAGGCATGCTTTATTTTTACAAGCATGCGACTCAGGCAGTGCTAAGAGGCTTTTTGGCATCCAGTCTATTTTTATTTTCCCTTGAAGATCCTGTTGAGATTTCATTTATTTCTTTTCTTTAAATAGTGTATTAAAGCTTTCTAAGCTTAGTGAGATTGAAACTGTTAAAGTTATTGGATTCCTTGATACTGTCAACTTCTCTAAAAGATAATGCGTAGAATGCCTTTTTTCAGACATGATTTTATATGATGGGAAAATCTATTTAATCTCCTTTGGATTAGATTTCAACTGTGTTTAACTAAATTATATCAAAGCACAATGGAACTAAACTATGTTTAAACACAGCACCGACTGGGACTTTTCTTTAGCTATCCTAAGTGCCTCCAGCAGTACATAAGTCCTTATTTCTAAATTGTTTGTTCCTTCTAGGCTGTCCGTAGTACACATGGCTTAGAAGTTCCATTAAGCCATAAAGGAACACTGATGGTGACAGAGGAATATATCGACTTTGTACTAAATATAGCAAATCAAAAAATGGAGGAAAACAAGAAGAGAATTGAAAGGTATAGTAATTGAATATTTCCATGTTTTCCTTACATTGCCTGGGTCACCTTTGAAAACATTAATACATACCATCTTTGGTTTATACATTCGCCTGTTTTTCTCCTCGTAGCTTTATTACCAATAATAAAAAGATATTCAAAGTAATACTAGGTGAGAGAGGCCTGGGTATAATGGGCACTGAATGGAGCATAAGGTGAAAGCTCACGAGGGTAATGGGACAGTGGACAGCCAGCAACGGGCACTGATGAAAGAAAGGTGTTCATTCAGGTTAGAGAGCCCACAGCCACAGGGACTGTTAAAGGTTAAGTTCAAACCTGCAGGGAAGAGGTACACACTGCCCCTCACTGTAATCTACTGATAATTACCAAGAATCTCTCTTTGAGAACAACTGGTTAATTATGAAATTTCGGTCTGTTTTATAGTCTGACTAGTTCAATACCCAACTCTTAACCATGGCTTAGTTTTATAATTGCCATAATTGGCCCTATAGGAAAGATTATAGATTTTTTTTTAACAGCTTCTACTTCTCTTGTTATTAAACTTCACCTTCTGGGAGATGAAACTCTCACAATACTTTCTTTTTTAGCTTTCTCCTAAGAATAGAGTTTTTGATATAAAAATAACTATTATTCTGCCTTTCATATAGAAAGATGCCACTGACCAACCCTGAGTAAGATGTACATTTCTGAGTTATTTCAGGAATGAAGGCTAACTCGGTGTCATTCATAACTTCCCTTTATCCCACCGCCTTAGATACCTCACAACCGCCCAGTCAATCACTACCTAAATAATGCTTGAATCATTCTCTCCCCATACTTATTGACACTTTCTTCATTCAGACTATTGCTGGCCTTACAGTAGGATGCTTCCAGTATGTCTCTTTTATGTCATCCTCCATATCACATCAAAATCTATAAAAAAACGAAGGAATCCTATTAGTGAACTTGCCTGCTTAAAATTGTGTAACATCTAGAACTTTGCTGGCAGCAGCTAAGGCCAGAAGTGCCAGTGGTAGCAAGGTAGCATAATGGAGAGAGGTAAAATAAGGTTTCAGTAGCAGAACTAAATTGAAATCTAGGTTCCTCTACAACTTACTCAGTTCTGTTGGCTTCATTTTTCTTATCTCTAACTTGGGGGAAATACCTATCTTAAAGAACAGTGTTGGTTCCCATTAAATAGCATGTATGTAGTGACTAGCCCTGGCCCTGGCCCTGGCCCTGGCCTTGTTGTTTCGTGGATTCTTAGGGTAGGATAGACTTTCATTTACTCATACAAAGAATAAACCTATGATCACATCAGTACCATCAGCCAGGCTTTCTTAACCAGGGGTCCTCATTTGAACCACAGAATTCACAAAATCATTCAGGTGACTTTCTCTCACTTCTCCCAAGGATGGTCTATAATTTGTACCACTGTAGAGAAATTGTAGGGAAGTTAATTCACTATAGGCAATGGATAGCTTATGGCATTAGGACTTAATTTTCTAATGGAACCCTGGTTGAAAATAACAGGTTACTGGCCACAAGGTACTTTAAGCAAGCATTCTAAATTGATGATTTCAAGTAAGCAAGTGAAAAGCACCCAGCTACTCCACCAGACTATAGAAACTGAACTGTATATTGGTACTTATTGGTATCATTCCCCAAGTTTACTACATTTGTTAGACAGTATTTCAGTGAAAGTGTTTGCTAAAACATAGGAGGTAGCAAATCAGTTTCTCTGTTTCCTTACTTGAATTTCAACAAGATTATAAATATAGCCTAAGAGCAACTAACTATACACCTGGTGAAGTTAATTGAGCCACGTTCACCAACTATAAAATCAAATTATACTTTAAATCCATTGACTCAAAAATATGTTTTGAGATTATAGTGTGCATGCTGCTATCAAAAAAGCCACGCTCATCATATAAAATCAGGGAAAAATTAAAGAAGGGTAAAAAGTGTCTTAAGATACTGATTAGAAGATTACATGTGAATTCAGAAAGGGTGAACAAATTAAGAAGCTCCTTTAGGAACAGCTGTACATTCAGCCAAATGCAAGGAAAGTTATACTTTTGATGTTGAAATGAGAAAAAATAATAAACACTAGAGGTGATGAGTTCTGCAATCAGACATTAAGTTCTAAAATGGGTTTGTCATAGGACTACAGTTTCACAATTCAGATATCTACAATAAGAGAATTTTAAAATATCGAAATCCTAATAAATAACATTTCAACCACAAGAAATATTCTGGGAATGTGAAAAGCAAAGTTAAGTAAAATATTTTTATTAGAAAAAAAAGGTCTTGTTTTTGAAAAATAATCTCCAACCTATATTTTAGTTTAAAGAGTAAGCTAATTTCATATGCAATAGAAGGTTTAGAGATCTGTTTACCAATTATGAGGAAGGCTATCTTTGTATCTATTAAGATAAGAATTGACTTGGTTTAATGAAACCACCATTTGACTATGAAAAGAATTAGCAATTTTCTCCTTTTTCATTAATAGTGTAATAAGAAAATGCTAAATAGGGCCTCCCTGGTGACGCAAGAGGTTAATTAAGTCTCAGCATTACGAAGCTGTTGGCAGACACTGCAGCACAAGTTCCATCCCTGGCCAGGGAGCAACTCACATGGCACAGCAGACCTCTCCTGTCTCCCCTACTGCTCCCCTCAGCAGTGTATTTCAGTAGATCCATCTGCTCCCCACTCTGTCTCTGGTGAATTCTCTCACCCCACCACACCTCTGACCTACACCCCAGCTCCTGTATACATAAAAAAGTAAAATAAATCTTTTAAAAAATGCTAAATAAAATGTAGAATGAAAAAGTTAACATACTATACTATATTGAGTTTCCCAAAGGCAAAGAATTTATTTTCTTAGTGGCACAGTAATAGTAGTTAATAAATATTTGCTAAATTTAGTTGATTAATTTTTTTCCATAGTACTTCTTTTGTAAGGCTCAGAGATCTAGGATGATTATTTTGGAAGATATTAAAATGGCTCAGAGTGGGGACAAACAGGCATAGCCTCTTCCTAAATGCGTCAAGTAAGACGTAATAGGACCCTGAGTAACAAGATGCATGGGAGTGATACTGCAAAATATGACCTGAACATGACAGCAGTTGGCAATGGGAGTAGAAACAAAGCGTCAAAGATAGCAGCTGCCTTAGACTCATCATAGTGGTCAGTCATAAGTAAAATTAAAATGAAACTACAGCAGCTAAATTAAAGCACTCACACATTCCCCTACAGACTTAACATTAAAGAAGTAAATATGTAAAAAATAAGTAAAAACACTTTTTTTCTTTTTTGATTGTTCCCCCTCGGCTTGCCCTCCAACTCACTTTTTTCCATCTCCCCCATAATTCCTGTCCTACTCAACTTCCATTCATCCCTGCAATTCAGCCTGGGTTGTTTTCCAAGGAGCATTTCATGATCTCAGTTGGAGCAAAGTACCCTCAATGTGTTCCCACATTATCCTATCTTTCTCAAGCATGTTGAATGTGACTTTACCTCTCTGCAGCTCCTATTTAAATTCTGAGCTCCTCAGGGGCACAGACCATGTGTCTGTTTTTTTTTTTTTTTTCCTTCTTAAATAATGAAGTTTCACTGTCATATATACTTGTTAATATTTTGAGAGTATAGAATTTCTCCCCTTAGGCATCACCATTATAACTAACTCTCCCACCACCAAAGTACCCATAGTTCACCATAATCTGTTGTGCTAAACTTCCCTCCCCCTTCACATCTTAAATGCCTCACAGACCACATATCTTACCTCAGTTTCTAGAACCTGGCACAGGCCCTGTCAATACATGGTTGTTTAGTAAAAATGCTAGCACTTAATTAGTTAAAATAAATATTTATGTTTGTGTACATATAGGAATAAGTATACATTCACATATAAGTGTCCATACTTATACATGTGCATACACACACACACGCACACATATATATATATGCATGAATAGCTTCTTTGATACTTGTGAACAACAGAAACCTAAAAGGGTATGAAATTGTGTCTAGGATTCATTAATTTTAGTTTTCCTATTTCAAAAGTCCAAGAAATACTGGCTTTTTCTTATAAGTGGGCCTCTAACTGAAATGAAAAAACAGAAATTCATTTTCTCAGGGTCGCACTGAAAACTTTTATGAAGAGAACTAAGTTCAAGGTGCCCTGTGACATGATAATCTTGACTGCAGAATTAGAAACACTGAAGGAAATTTGATTTTAAGGGGGTAGGGGAAAAAATAGTTGCCTAAGCATTCATTTTTTTTTTTTTTTATACTGAGCTCTTTTTGTTGCCTGTGAGAGCTGAGAAATTATACTTTGAGAATTGGGCTTTAGAATGTTATGTAAAAGGTCATAGTATGAGGGGAAGACATATAACTGGAAAACAAATCTCTGCCTTATTGAGTAAGATAGTTTCCCAAAGGACTTTTTGAAAGTTCCCTTGTAAAAGGAAAACGTATTAGAAGTTTTTGCTCTTAGTTTTCAGCACAAAAGTCTTGTATCAGTTGTTTTTTGTTACCCCAATGATGTGGTTTTGAATTCTTAGCTTTTTTATTGGGAAGATTAAAGTAAGGCACCTGTTCCTCTTTAATTAACTCTTTTTGTGTGATTTCCAAGACAATTTATACAGCTGTTTATTCCCTGTGATCCTAAAAGAGCAGTTTAATCTTTTTTTTTTAATTTTCTAGAAATAAAGTATAATTCAGAAAAAAGACCTTAGTTCCCTAAGACTAAGGTGCAGGTTGGGGTGGAAAATGATAGGAGAGGAAGTTGCATATCATGGGTCACCTCCTATCATCAGTTAAGGGTGATTGGCATCATTTAATGGCAGGTTGGGATTCATGTTTTAGGGGAAAAAATTAGTCATTTTAATGGGTCATTAAGTCATTCTAAATAGGCAGACTGGAAGAGGTTAATAAACCAGTCATCAAGTCCCTCAGGACAATGACAGTACTGGCAAGAAAGACTAAGACAAGTATATACGTTTTCATGAATGTAAGGGGTTGAACAGGGTATTTATAGATGACATGAGTGGCAGATAAAGAAGTTTATTAGTTTGGCCAAGTATTGGTGAGCCAGTTGAAGTCTGCTGAATTCTGGCCTCATCTTTCAACTCTGATAGGTGGAATGTGAAAAGAATAAGTAGTGTCCACTTGAGACCAATGCAGGGCAGATAGTGTCTTTGTAGGAAGGTTGAGGGACAGGGGTGGTAGTGGGGGGCAGATTTCAGTTAAGTTCAGGACAAAAAGTGTACATTAAATGAAAAGGTTGCCATCATGGAATAGAGACCAACAAATTATCTATCAGTGAAGAAATTATGTCAGCTAATACCTTTCAAAACCTTTTGCTATTCTTTTCACTATGCTTTTTTCCTTTTACCATACTGCCCTCTTTATGTTTGATTTATACATTAAAGAAATATCTATTTAGCATCTATCATGTGCCAAGCATGGTGCTGGATATCAAGGTGTACATTGTGAGGGCATAATTTCTTGAAATATGGACAAGATGCATAGTTACCACATTAAATATACATTAGAATTTTGTGGAGTGTGTGGGTGAGTATAAGTGAGTATATTGTAGGATTTTAAGGCAGATTTTCTGAACCTTTGCAAGTAGACATTAGCCTGTTCATTGAATTTAAAAAAGGGAGAAAATTGGTCCATACAGCTGTAGATTCCTGTCATAATCTCCCATTATAATAGAACATAAAAGCATGATGAGATCCTGACAATGACAAGGGAGTTTGCAATGTCCAGACCATTCTAATTGGTAATATGTACATATTGCCAATATACATATATTGGTATATACATACATACATATTGGTATATACGTACCAATATACATACATATGCATATATACATATTCACTTTTTGGCCAGTAATTTATCACTTGTTGGCATATTTTTACCAAGTGTGTCAATACTGTACCACGTGCCAAGATAGATGGGGCGCTTGGGCTCGTGGAGTTTATATTCTATAAAACATGAGGGCTCGCTCTTGCTAGGAACTGTGCTAGTTACTTAGCTATATCACCTGTAACCCTCTGACAGCCCCACTAGGTGCAGGATAATGTGAATGAGAAAACAGAGACCTACCTAGTGAGGTTGGAATTTAACCAAAGGAGCTATCCCTGGGGCACACTGGCACTGATGCATGCGGCTCACCCTCTCACTGTCTCACTGCTCCTCCTTCCTGCCTTCATTGTATACTGAAGGCTACTCTGTCAGGCAATGGGGTGTTAGTTAAGTGTTAATGTGATGAGAAAGGAAATGGAACCTGATTTTCAGGAAGCAAATGGTTTATTCTTTCACAAAATTAACACTGAACTGCCAATAGAAAAATGAGTAGAAAAAAAGAACAGTTTACATTTAAGAAAATTCAAATAGCTAATAAATGAAAATGTTCTGTTCCACTTGTAAGCAAAGAATATTAGAATAATGAGATACCAATTGTCACCCACAAAGCAAAGCATTTTTTCAATAGTAATATTCAATGTATGGGTGAAATAGTCTCTCAGAGACTGTAGAAGCATGTTTTCCTAGAAAACAAGTAACATTTATTGAGAGCCTTAAAATGTTCATACCCTTTAACCATGTAACTATATCTCTTGCTGCCTATCCTAAAGAAATAGTTAGAAACTCAAATCACCCTATTTTAAAAAAATGTCAAGATGACATAATGCTATACTAGCATTAGAAAGTATTATTTTGGGCCTCCCTGGTGGCGCAGCGGGTTGAGCGTGCTGCACTGTGAAGCTGTCTGCAGCCTCCGCAGCGCTGGTTCTATTCCCGACCAGCCAGGGAGATCCCACATGGCGCAGCAGACCTCTCCTGTCTCGCTTGCTGCTCCCCTCAGGAGTGTACTTTGGTCAATCTGCCTGTTCTGCTCCCCACTCTGTCTCTGGTGAATCCTCTCACTCTCCTGAAACTCTGGCCTATACCCCAGCTCTTGTATAAATAAAAATAAATCTTTAAAAAATAATAAAAAATAAATGTTATTTTGTAGTTCATTTGATGATGGATGGGAAAAATATTTTTAATGAATATTAAATTTGGAAAAACAATGTAAAACTTCATATGCAATATCACAGTTGTATAAAGGGGAGTGGTATTGGTATACGTGTGTAAGTCCATTAATTCAGAAAACATTAATATACTGGGAAGAAATGGAAATGTCATGTTTATTTTCAGGTAGGTATACGGAGGTGATCTGTACTTATAACTTCATATCATTTCAAAATTCTCTAAAATTAACTTCTATTTTGATGTTTTTATAAAGAAAAAAATAATTGCTGTTTTGTTTTTAACTTTCTTTCTTTGATTCCCATATGTGGAATAGAAATTGAGGTGAGACTGAGGTTGTCAAAAGATGATTCCAGTGTAATTTCAGGACTGTTCTTAAAAAACCGAAAGCAAATTTATTTAGTTAATTTTTATTTTTTTTATTTTGTTGATTTTAAAGAGTCATGAAAGCATATTATTTGTTTGGATCATTTTCTATTTTAAGATTAATATATCAAATTCATATGTTTTATACATTCTTTGTGTACTTTAGTCTTTCAGTTTCAGAAGATACAACTGTAACTATACTTATTTCTTTACAGGTTTTACAGCTGCCTACAACACGCTTTGGAAAGGGAAACTATTACTAAGTCACCTCCAAAAGAGAAAAATACCTCATCATATACTCACAAGAAAAAAAGAAACCCAGAAAAAGCACATGGCAAATGTATTACAGAAAAAAATTATAAAGAACTTGAAAATGATGATGATAATGATCCAGGACTCAGTAGTACAATCTTCCCTGGAGATTATAATATTTGATTCTAATGTGTCATGGTATAGAATGTTTTCACAGGTATATAAAACTGCTCTTTGTAAGAGTATTTTAGTGTCTTGTGTGTATCAAACATTCAAAAATGCAAGATTTTTCTCTATTTTTTAGAGAAACGTACCTTATAAACAGATGGCTTTTTAAAATAGCTGTGTATAATATTTACTCATTAAATATCTTTTAGTCACATATTCATTAAAAAATAAAATTATGATTTTGAATGCTTTTTTAAAAAATTTCAATTTCTTCTTGTACAGAACAGGAGAATTGCAATACCCTTTCATGAAAGTTTTAACATCAGGAATATTTTGACTAAAAATCATAATATTTTATTTTAACTTGGAAATCTCCAGTATTTAAAGGAGAGCCAGACTTTACTTCTCGTTGCCCTGGAGTTCAATGGCAAGTTTTTCCCTCTTCTGGTACATTGTGAGTAAAGCAACTGATACGCTTTTTGTTTAGTACAAAATACCTGAACCTTGTCTCCCCATTTTCACAAACTAGAGTTTGCCACAGGCACAGTCTCCATGAAGTAGGTGGGTACAGTTTTCAACTAAGTCTTTTCAGAAATAACTTACTAACACAGGAAGCTTAGTAAAACAAATATGCTATGGAAAATTGCAAGAATCAGCAGATTGGAGTTTGAGTTCTGACTGCTTACACATACGTTGGAGGTTCCTGAAAAAATAATTTAATTCCCAAGAATTACCATTTCCTTTTCTGCACAACAGTAATTCTAATAATTGCCATATCTATAATATAGGGTTATGGAAAGGATCAATTTAGATAAAAATGTGGAAAACCATTAATAGGCTACTCGCATATATCTTGCTATTTCCCATTTTCATTATAAAATAAAGATGCTTTCATACTATATTTTCAAACTATCAAATTATAAAAATTATATGTAACAGAACTAGTAGACTATAAGATAAAAATACCAGTAGACTATAAGATAGTCTAGTAGGGCCTCCCTGGTGGCGCATGCGGTTGAGCGCAGCGCTATGAAGCTGTCCGCAGCCTCTGCGGTGCCAGTTCCATCCCCGCCGGACTCGGAGCAACCCACATGGCAGACCTCTCCTGCCTCGCCTGCTGCTTGCCTCAGCAGTGTCTTCGGTCTGTCTACCTGTTCTGTTCCCCGCTTTGTCTCTGGTGAATCCTCTCACCCTCCCACGCATCTGGACTGTACCCCAGCTCTTGTATAAATAAAAAAATCCTTTTAAAAAAAAAGATAGTCTAGTAGACTATAAGATAAAAATACCAGAATGTCAAGAAAAGTTACATAAAGTAATAAATATTAAGTTGTGTTGACTGGCATTTCCTAGTAGTTGAATAATTCAGATTTGCATCCAACATGCTTGTCTGACATAATTTTGTACTCTGATTTTTTAAATAGATTGGCTTCATACACATCTATTGTTCTCTAAATTCACAGGGAATGATGTCCATCAACTCTGAAATTGTGAGATTTTTCTTGACTAATTTTTATATGTCAGCACTGAACTGCTCTATTTTATACCTTTAAAGTACTAATATTTACATTTCTGATTCTTGTGGTATTGCCAAAACTCTTAAAACATCTTGTAACTCTCAGTCCTCTGTTTCTTTGTTCCAGAAAGAGCTTCTGAAAGCCCTCAGCCTCCTTGCATCCTGCAACATTCAGGACCACTGACCAAAAATCACAGCCACGCCTCTGCCCTTTCACAAGTGTCCTGAGTGCTTCTAAATCATTTCTTTGCTGTGGTAAATCCTTGATTCTTTTCCTCTCCATCCCTTTCATGGATTGGAACATTTATTGCACCCTCAGCTCATCTTCTGAACTCAAAATACAGAAAGGACCCAAGAATCCCCAAGGAAGGACATTTAATAATGTCTATTTTTGTAAAAAGTTCTCAAGTTTCCTGATATAGACCAAGGGTAGGTTTCCCTCATTTCTTTGTTCAACATCTTGCATCCTCTCTTCACCCCAGTCATCCTATACAATGGCCTTAACTTCTGAGATCATGACTCCCAACTCCTGCCTGGATCTGTCTCCTAAGCCACAGCTAGCAGTTAGGCCTCTCCAATAGAGCTTGTTACTTTCTAAAAGTTTTCTCTTACGAGACTGTTCCTTTCTTGGCTCTTTGGCTAGAAAGAGTGGGCTTTTTTTTTTTTTGGTATTCTTTTTGTCAACCCATTGGCATTTCTGGAATACTGGCTTTTCCAGTGCTCAGGCTGGGATATACAAGGGAAAAAGACAACCCAAGTTGCTCATTGTGTTATTTACATTCTGAGATTGTTAGCCAACCTGTCTTCCTCTCTTCCCTTTCAATCTCACATTTGTTTTATATATAATATGCAGTTTTTACTTTCACTTAGTGGAAGAAAGAGGAGGAAGTGTATCTACTCTTCCAGAATCAGAAATTGAGTATGATTTTGAAATTATTGATGTTGTGACATTGCTGGGGTATTGTTGTGGACACCTTTGAAACCCATCCAACTATGCAAATCTTTTTTCCTGTCCACCCACTCCCCAACACCACATATCCATTATCTCATGGCCAATAATGACAAATACAAAGCTTTAAAAGACTAATACTGTTGCCCACCAATTAGATAAACTGATATGCATTTGTCATTTAAACTCCTAGCAATATCAGGCTGAGGCAGAGTCCTCAACTGAATCCCATCATGAATTTCCCATTCCCTTATTCATTTCTCCTGGGAGCACCCGCTTAATAAATTCCACTAGAGTGGTGTCTTCTGCAAGAACCTTACCTAAGACAGGTATTTGAGATTGCTTAGAATACAGTTGATGTTTTAATATGCTAGAGATTTTATCATTGATAGTGACTTAATATATAAACATGCAAATAAATGTAGAATGTTAAGTACGTATTAATTTTAAAATTTCTTTCATGGGGTCTCTAACATTTTTGAGGATCATTTGTATAATACATACTGTCATAAGAATTCATTGATGGTAGGGGAGGGAGTATTAAAATTCAAAGAAATACCATTTTGTTTAGGTCTTAAAGGATAAGAGAAATGACAGAGAAAAACTCTTGCAGATAGAAAGAATATATAATGACTGTAATTGCGGCACCAATTCAGTGATGGTGAATATTTCAGAAAACCTGAAACATAACACACAGTACGAAATTAGGTAAACTGATGGAAGCCCAATTGTGAAAGGCCTTGTAGTCCAGAGTAGAGATATTCCAGTGTCCCCATAACATGGCTGTACAATGGAATTACCCAGCCTAGGACAGAACATAGGTGGCTACTTTCTAAAACACTGATTCCCAGGCCCTACTCTAGATCTCTCAAGCCAGAATCTTCTATCTGGGGTCTAGGAATCTCAACTTATCAAACAACCCATCATCCAGTGTCTGCTAAAAATCGATCCAGCACTTTTAGAATCCACTGCTAACATTGAATCCTGAGATACTGGAGAGACACTCATTATTTTTAATGAGAAAAATAAGTGATATGACCAGATGTTGCAATGTACCTGTGTCACAGATTTTGTGACACACATTATAAGAGGGTAAGTAGGAATGTACTGTGTATTAATTACAGAAGTGACTGTCCTTACTCTTAAGCAGTTGCCAGAAGGAATGGAAACGTATAGTTATGTAAATTAAACTCTGCAGAACTCCAGGAGGGGACATTCTCCATAGGTGACAATATGAATGGCATTCCTTGAAGTTGTGCAGTGCACATTCTTACACACTAACATATATAGCAGTCCTGCCAGGAGGAAATTTGAGCAGGAAAGAAATCCTATAGTGTCAATGTCTGGAACATTTCCTCTAATTAAATGAATAGAAAATGGAAATATCTGCCAGCTGGGTGGATGGAAAAAGAGAAGAAAATTAAACTATGGGCCCTCAATACATGAGAACTACAGGAAAAAGGGGGTGAGGTGGGTAGTAAAGGGCTTCATATGGTTAAATGACTACACATTACGTAATTTGGAAATATCTCCAAAGGACATACAATCCATTAATTTTCATTTACTCATTTAAATTGATCCCTAAGAGAGCCAAAGATTCTATAAATTCAGTATACGCACGAGAATCTGGAAGAGAGGGATTGCTTCCTAATCCCTTTATCTACAGTAACAGAAGTGTTCTGGACTTAGCCTGGTAGAGAAGAGAGATCAGGTGCTGGCCATAGATTCAGAAGACATAGAATCTGATTCCTTAACATCCTTTAATATTTGATTTATGTATTTAATCCACATTCCTGATCAAGAAATTTAACTGAAGCAGGGCTGGATTATATATATAAGATTACCTGAGAATTAGCTTGTGGTTTGTTTTCATTATTCCACTGATCCATCCAAAATGAACTTCTTTCCCTCGTCCAAGGTGGATGCAGGCATTTATTCCTAAGGCCTGGATTCTTCATCACTCCACCTTCCTTCCAGTTAACTACTTTTGTGTTCTAAGGGAGAAAGAAACAGCTGTCAGGTTTATCGAGAAACAGGAAAGGAAACTAAGAAACATAATTTTGTTTTGAAATTCTGGGTCAGAGGTCATAAACTAGTGGCAAAAATACAGACAGTTGGATTTGTGTGCTTGGCCCACACAAGGGACATTTTTCCTAATTGAGCCAATATTTTAAAATATTTTTTTTTCGTTTTTCTTAAGTGCATCTCTAGTTTTTCTCTTAAAATTGGAAGCTATGACTATACTGTGCCCACCTTCCTACCTACTGACTGCCCCTTTTGAACAAAGCTGTGTTTCCCGTTCACCTGCGTCGGTGGCCCCTGCTGGTTCCCTGACTCACCTGCTGTAATAGTTCCCATTTCTGACTCTTGGTCTATGTGGTTATAGGTGTTGGCAACCTCTGCTTAGGTCTTTAAGGGGAAAGAAATTATACTATTAAGTTAGCATATTACATAATGAAAAGAGATTAGAGCAGCACTGACTACATAATGTGCTAAATGGAAATGGGTGGTCTCTTGTTAAGTGTTCAAGAATTAGAGCCACAGAGCACTAAGTCAACTGCAGCACACTTGAAAGCACCCTACGGTGCACCACTGCACAGGTTATACACGCATGGAGCGGCACTAAATTGGAAGCTTCGCATTTCGAGAGTTGAAGAGAGGAACGGAGGTCAGGAGGTTTGACCCTCCTCCCCCCTTAGGAAAGGGGCACAGCGCTGCAGTTTCTGCGATGGCGCCCACTTCCATGAGGCACCCATGGGGTGGGCCGTTTGAGGATCCGG